TTGCCAGGTCAGGAGGGTTGGGGGGGGGGGGGGCGTTTGGGTTTTTTTTTTTTAAAGGTAAAAGTTACGGTACTATCCTCTTTTTTTTACCGGTTTGGGAGGCTAGGGGGAGGGGGCCGGGCCGGTAGAATCGGCCCGTGGATCCGCGCCTGCTCGTCGGTATGACCGGGGTATTAGGTTTAGAATTTTACCTTCGATTGCCGAGAACCAGACGACCATGAAGACTGAGATGGCAATGCACGCCAGAACACTGACGATACGACACACGTAACAAACTCGAGAATTCCCTTCGCCTTTCTCGAGGTCGCCATCGTAAGCGATGTCGTTACTAGCTTCCTTGACATGCGTGTCCACGTTGACTACATCATCGTCCGATTTCGATGGACGATCACTACCTGATGGAGGCGATGTCGATGTGGACGGACCATCATACCCTTCGTTCATCTTGGCCTGATGTAAGGAATGTTATCCATGTTACAATATCGTTTATGTATTCATGTATTGTTATTACAGTAATGGCAGGCTCGAATTGTAGCATTCTTCGAATTCTAAGTATAGCGAGCGATGCCCCTGCACTAAGGTTGCAAAATAATTCGATAACAAGACAGTTAAGATTATTCAGTGACGAGAACTTTCATACAATATTGGCACACAGAAGGACATACATTGCATCGCTCAGGTTGCAGCGAGTTTATAGAAAGACATTAGGAGAGAGAGAGAGAGAGAGAGAGAGAGAGAGAGAGAGAGAGAGAGAGGACGTAAGAGGGTTGGAACCTTTCCTGGACAGTAACTGAATATGCAATATGATTTTATTTCTTTTTTCCTTTGACGATAATCATCATTCTTACCACATTATTAATTACCTTCTCTTAATTCTTATAACACATGCCCTCCCCTCCATCGAAATCTCAGATGTAGATTAAAAAGGGTTTTATCCGATCAAATACATGTAACATATCCTTACCTTGTCTGTATATTTCCCTTCCATGTTGCTTCAGAAATGGGGTTACACTGAAATCCAAATCGAATGGTGAAAAGCTATACCGAAAAGTATGAAGCACATAAGAAAAGAAACTTCTCTATTGAAGTCAGGGCGCAAGAAAAATGGAGGTAAAACGAACCGGACCATTCACGCATACCCTGCAGCCCTTTCTGTAGGGAAAGAACTTTTGTATGAAACTAATACAGAAGTTAAGAGCGGAACGGTTTTGAGGTGCTCTTTGTTATACAATATTTGGTATTCGTGAGGGCTGAATGCCAAATATTTGGGGGTATTGTAATTTGTTTTGTAAGAGGATTCAATAGATGGCAACGTAAGGTTCAAATCCAGGCTTTGTGGTTGCTGAATAAATTGTATGAGTAGTTGGGCGATGGCATTATTTGGCAGCCCGTATACTTCATTGATAATATGACATTCAGGTCTAGTTTTTCTTTAGGGTTTCATTCACAACTTTTTTTATTTTATTTTTTTAAATCAAAAGATAAAAAATCCTTTCAAGTTTTGGGGATACATCTATTAATATATTTTCTGCTGTACATTTACGAGACATTGACGTTTTATTTGGTTCTGTATTGGACATTGGGCCTTTATGACAAATAACAAATCTGGGAATGTGATAAGATATTTAAATATATACGTATGAGTATGACCAGCATTCACAGTTACGTTAAGTAATTACATTGGCAAGGGTATTGTTAATCAATATTGATGAGTTTTTCGTAATTCTTGTTGGTTTATAAATGGTGCCCATGAGCGGGTTTGCTTGTAAAATAGTGTCATAGGGGGAAGCGTCTGTGGTCGACAAGTCTATGTTGAAGTCACCCATCATGCGTTTTTCGATTTAAGGACACAATGGCCCAGACGGTGTCTAGGCCAAAATGAACTGAATACTTTAAAATCCACGATCTGAAAAGAACGATGCAAGCCCTTTATTCGCCTGATTCAATGAACAACAAATCAGACAACTTTGAAAATACTAAACCATCGACGATACAAATAAAAAGAAAGCAGAAGATCATATATAGATGCATCTTTCGTAAATAGATTTGCAGTAGGGTTTTCACAAAGCGTCCGCAACTAATTGGACCAGACCATTTTATTTATAGATGAGATAAACAATGCATATAATTATAAACGGCGGAATAAAACCAACGCAGGGATTCACAAAAGGATTTGGAAACTAATCAAATCGCAATTAAATCGAACAAAGCAGTTTCGAACAATGATTCAAAGCACAAAGGTGGTTTTGATGGTTTTGAGAGTGAGGGAAAGGGAAATAAATAAAAAGGAATTACATGAATATTACGAATATAGGTGAAAAATAAACAATAAAGACATATTAGCCAAGTTTCAAGGTAGACTTTTTGATGTATATATATATATATATATATATATATATATATATATATATAAAGGGGAAATATGAAACAGGGAAGGAAGGATATAGATTGAGAAAACAATAGAGGTATTAAATACAAGAGAGGGAAGTGAATAGGATTGGGATGTAGAATCGGGAAAGATAGACAGAAACTAGAAGTGAGAGAAAGGGAGAGAGAGACAATTGAAAAAACGGAGATGAAGAGAGAGAGAGGGAGAGAGAGATAGAGAGAGAGAGTTAGAAAGAGAAGGACAAACAAAGAGAAAGAGAGAGAGAGAGAAGGGGGGGGGAGAGAGAAAGGGGGCATCAGAGAAAATAAAATCAATATTCAACGGGAGCGCCTACTCAATTAGTCGTTGTCGCGTCGCCCGATACAAATAATGGCGCTAAATGTTTGAATTGTTTCCATAGCGACGAATACCTCAGCTACCAAGTGAGCTCCACCAGATTCGTCAATATTAACGCTCCAGTTCGGATGTGAGCTTAAATACACGCACCACTTATTTTGCAAGGTTCTACCAACGATATCAATTACTATTCTCTTTCACCACTTGGTTATTTCATTGCAGTTGTCATATTTTGCACAGGGGCGGATCCAGAAGTCTGTTACAAGGAGGAGAGGGCACAATAACACGATCAGAAGGCCCTCTTTTTCTGTAACTGTAGGCCCACTTCGGTATGCAAGATCATGGACCTAGGTCCATGGCTAGATATTGCCACCAAAGTATGGGGTGGTTACCGTAGTGGTATACCCTTTCAATACGACACTGTCATCACATGCGTATATTTTTAATCGCACCCTAAAAATTAATGTAGATTTAACATACTGAATGAACAAATTTAACAACCTACTTTCGCAAATGCCGCATAATATTGCACTGCATTTGATTGGAGTTAATTAAGTGTCTGTAATGAAATCAAATATGTGCGTGTATCATTAGTTTGCAAGTCACCAGAACAACAGGCTGAAGGTCTTCAGCAATTGGTTCTGATGTTAATAACATAATGGAAAAACACAACAGAGCACGACAAAACAAAATACACGCTGACAATATGCGAGACTCAATTTTTTAATATGGTATTTCACTATTGTGTCTAAACGTTTAACAGCACTATCAACAAGTGCAATGAACCTTTGTTGAGAGGTAGGTTTGGAAAAATGTGCCTGGAATTAAAAAATTGCCACGGATTTTCCTTACATGTTAACAGATGGGTCTCACTGAATCGTTTAAGCCGGCCTTAAGTCAGAAATGTATTTGGAAATAGTTTTGGGTACTTGTACAAATTGTCTTTCAAAATAATTTATGGAAATAGAAGGAAGTCTTTTTTGAGTAATCGCTTGAGCGTAACCACTATCAGCCTCTTTTCATAAAGATCTAACTTGTTATATTCCACGTTGCATTTCCTATAGCTTTACTTTGAACTGCTTGAGAAAATACTTATTGGAAAGCTTCGGGTAAACTTGTTCTCGAAGAGTAGAATGGATTCTTTTGAGAGTGCGTACGTGTCGTAAACAAACTTGTGATTTAAAACGCCTAAATCATTTGATATACAAATTAAAATGTAAAGTGTACCACTCACCGAAACAGGTTTTGCTTTTGATGTATGGGTTTTCATGTGGCTGAAATTTGAGCTTCAAATATTACTTCTACATTGAAATATTGCAATAATAGATACATTATATTAAAAACAGTAAAACGTCTTGTTGTCTGAGAAGACTATTTAACGCGCGCGTACACACTCGCATAGATAAAGCGTTAACGGAACCCAAGTCCGACTGGGTTCCGTGCTAGCCCTATTATGTTATCATTAAAGTTCTTATTCATACTACATAACCGTTTACCTATAGAATGCCAAGTTAACTTTTATTTTAAATTCATTTCAGGTGATTGGTACACTTTAGAGAAAGACAATTTCAACGACGTTTTCATGTTTTGCTACCTTTTGAAATCTTATACATTTAGGATGGATATTTCGTCATAGCCCTCTAAACCTTAAAAATCGACCGCCCAAAACTTGGTCCCTACGCTCGGTCTCGCAACCGCGATGCTCGTAGCATTGTTACATTATTACATATCACCACTCATGCATATAATTGGTAGGCCTACTATGCATCAAGTGGGGACAGAGTAAATATGTAGACTAAAGCAGATTTCATTTTAAGATGAATATTATTCTTGTAACGAAGCTAAACCCTCTATAGTATTCATCTTTATCAATCTTAAACAATCTTAATCACTCTACAGCAGGGCAAGTAATTACCTTTTCGACATAGCTAAAAGCTTCGTAATAAACATTGAAAACAGAATATTAGGAACTATAAATTTGTAAATGTTTTTTTTTATTTAAAGAAAATCACTATAAGACAGGAAGAGAGAGGGAGAGTGAGAAATGGGATTTAGCCAATGAAAGAGATCGAAATAAAGATGAGTGTGTGAATTTGTGTGCGTTGCGCATAACAATGAGAGATGGGGGAGAGAGAGAAAGAGAGAGAGAGATGAGAGAGGATGTTCTTTCTCTGAATATAGCGCGCACAGTCGACGAGCATCGTTGCAATTTTTGTAAACGCATCGAAAGTCAAATCGACATGATAATCAATTCATTCTCGAGTCATCACTTCGCTCGTCCTATCTGGCAAGTTAACATAGCCTGAATTCTCCGTATTCTCTGGCCATATCAGGACAAATTCACGCTGAATACGGGATAGGTAGAAGAAAAAGTTGTTGCCGGAAGAGAATCATGTCTGGAATATTACTTTAGAATTTTCAATATTTGTATGTGTATCTGTGGATTTTTTGTTGATGAGAATACAATCAAATCATGGGAGTCAAAACTTTTTTTGTCGTAATAGTTTGGAGCCTGGTAAGTTGAAATTATTATTTATTCATTTTAACTTGTCTATATCTAATTTATGACAATCCGTTACAAATAAATGTTTAAGAATTTCATTTAGTCTATGTATTAGTATTGTTTTGTATTTCGTTTGTAAAAAGGGGATGGTTAAACTCATTTCTCATCTTCACAATTGAATAAAAAACAAACAATAAGATATTGATGTCAATGATAATAATGATAACACTATTAATAATGATTATATGTAATAGTAATAATAATGATGATAATGAATACAATACTAATAATAACATAAATACTTCTACTTCTAATGATAATATGCCTAATATAATAATAATAACATCAATAATAATGATAAAAATGACCGTTGTAGTTATATAACCATAAAATGAAAGAATAATTATTGTGTAACTAACATTTAATACAAAGCCATTAGAAGTAATATGTAAAATAATGTATTCGACCAAATTTATAACAATCTTTCATCGTGGTTTAGAATACTTTAACATTTATTTTGAATGCTTCACAAATTGACTTTTTTCGATTTTGTACGATTTGTTATAACTTATGCTTTCTTTGTAAATGGGATATTTCTAAAACATTAAAGCATTTGTTTTGCACTTTTTACGATTCCCCTATTATGAAATAGTTTGTTTCTTCCTTGGAAAACATGTATATCGTTTTTATTTTATTTATTTATTAATTTGTTTGTATTATTCATGTTGTCAATATAGCCTATATCAAGATAAACAATATATTCATATACAAAAAGAGAAAATTGATTAAACACTCCATCTGTCCTAGTATGGTTTCACTGGGTATGAAAACGGCTCACTTACTAACCAAAGCGCCCTGTGCATTTCTTTGCGAAATAGCACTTTATAAATACTCATTATTATTATCATTTTTACCCGCAGGTCTTCCTTCGCGAACAAGCTAACGCAAATAGGGTAGAAAGTGAATATATATATATATGAATATGAGATCGATGACATAATTGACATTGTTTAGATACAGTCAAACCTGCTTTATTGACCACTTGTATTGAAAAACCACCTGTCTATAAAGACCACAATATTTTTTCCCCTTGAGTATGGTTTTACCAGGGTATGTGAGTTAAACATGCACTGAAGGAACCTGTACATCAGCACCACCTGCCTGTAAAGACCACTTTTCATGTTTCTCTTGAGTGGTCTTTATTTACAGGTTCCACTGTAAAATAATCTGAAGATGAAATTCATGATTTGATATATCTTCTTTTAAAAAAGGAATTACATTTCGATTCAGTAGTATCCTAATCATTCTAATCGGGAGAATAGCATATGCAACACCGCATCTTAAAACATATTCAGCGCAATCCTCTGAAATAGCATTTGAAAGAACCCGATGATGTGGCAATAAATATTTTAAATATTTTACACACGAGCTATATTTAATGTAGCTTTAATTCAAAGAAATTAAATTGTTCCTGCTGAAACTTATTTTTCTTTATATTTTACAGACGCTGTACGCTCAAACTGATGGTAAGTACTCACTCAATCTAAATGATTTTGTTAACATTTTAGAATGAAATGATAACAATATTTGTATTTGTATTTGTATTTATTAACATTTATATCCTTCTCAACAGCACAATATAAAACACAATGTATATATACGTGATATATGTAACAATGATTTCAACATAGAGTATACAGTAATTAATTCAGATACGGAAGGAGGCGAAAACCCGGAAAGCGTAGCTTGAGTTGGGAACGCCCATAATAAATTAACACAGTTACCGAAAGAACATTATAGATATTATTATGAAAATTACATTGATTAGCGTAAATCACATTATATCGTCTCTATGCGCTTCCAAAGAGCTTTAGAAATTATTACCCTAGCTTTAGCATGGCTGCCATTACGGCGCTCTATAGCATTTCAAGGAATTAATGTATATCTTATATCCTGGCAATCTATCAGATTGTAACAAAGCATTGACATTCTTTTTTCCTTTTTTCCCCACGATTTTACAAGCGATTGGTTTGATACAGTTAAAATTTAACTTGAACCTATTTGGAGGAATTGAGATCGATGTGATAACTAAAAGCAATTCAGAGCAGAATGGATTTTTACTTTTGATATAAAATTTAACGCAATATCATTACTGTTTTCGTAAAAGCCTAACCCTAACCCTAACTATGTAAAGCAACTTGTGATGGGAAATTGTATGCATCTTTTTAGTGTTCGCTCCTTTTCTATTTGTTATGCACAATGCAGCTGAACCTTAGGGTAATTTTTTAAAGTCTTTGTCATTATGTTTAAAAGAAAAAGGTTTAATATTGAAAACGTAGCCAACTATAAATAAAATTTAATCAAATCAAAATCACATCGAAATTGGATTTGATTTTACTGGCATTTTAATGAGTTTTTATGTTATTACTTAAAACTCATTTTAAGCTTTACGTTTTCGTCGTTTTAAGTATGAAAGGTTTTCCAGACCCTTACATTTCTTCTTCCAAACACCCTTTTCGAATATCCATTACACTCCAAATTTAAAACGCACTGGCTATGCCCCTGACTGCAAACGTATGGCAGGAACGATTTTAGTTAGCACACTGAGATTATACTTTTGCTCCTCTTCCAAGTACCCTTGGCCCGATCCCACCCCGCCCCCCATAATATCTTTCAAAATGCCCTGCGACACCGCTGACTGCAAGAGTATGAATAGCATTTCCTATAGCATCCATACGCGATCATTAATACATACATCGATCTTGCTAGGTGCTTATGCTATCCTTCATAGCACCCTGTGTAAAGACACTTGACTGGTAGGTGGTCTGTCATTAGTTTATGGCTAGGACTGATCGATGATATCATGGAGAGACCATATACAGCAGAGAGTGTCTTGAAGAAGTGACTAATATTGGTTGGCTTATTAGGAAGAGATGGTGAAGATTGGGGGAGATAGAGAGAGAGAAGGGGTGATTGGGGGAGATCTAGAGACAGAGAAGGATATATCTAAAGAGAGAGAGAGAGAGAGAGAGAGAGAGAGAGAGAGAGAGAGAGAGATGATCGGGAAGGTAGGGGTGAGAAAATGATAAAGAATTTAAAGATGAGAGTATACAGAGAGCTTTTTATTAGTATTAGTTAATTTTAGAGTGAAAGGGAGAAAGAATAGTAAGTGCGAGAGAGAGATAGAGTGAGGGAAAGGGGGAGAGAGAGAGAGAGAGAGAGAGAGATGGAGAGAGAGAGAGAGAGAGAGATGATCGGGAAGGTGGGGTGAGAAAATGATAAAGAATTTAAAGATGAGAGTATACAGAGAGCTTTTTATTAGTATTAGTTAATTTTAGAGTGAAAGGGAGAAAGAATAGTAAGTGCGAGAGAGAGATAGAGTGAGGGAAAGAGGGAGAGAGAGAGAGAGAGAGAGAGAGAGAGAGATGGAGAGAGAGAGAGAGAGATGATCGGGAAGGTGGGGGTGAGAAAATGATAAAGAATTTAAAGATGAGAGTATACAGAGAGCTTTTTATTAGTATTAGTTAATTTTAGAGTGAAAGGGAGAAAGAATAGTAAGTGCGAGAGAGAGAGATAGAGTGAGGGAGAGAGGGAGAGAGAGAGAGAGAGAGTGTGAGTGAACGAGTGAGAGAGTGAGTGAGGGAGAGAGAAAAACAGGCAGGGAAAGAAAGAAAGAGACAAAGACAGTAGGAAGAAAGGTATATAAACAGACATGGGGGTAGACAGATAGTAACACAAAATAGTAATCCAAATATTGAAATTCCTCACGATGTTTCTGATATAAAAATATATTTTCTAATTAATTAGATTTTATGATAGCCTAGATATCGGATTAATTTGTCCGCGTCAGTATTACACTGACTACTGCATTGCTTTGTGAATCGTTTATATTTGGTTACTTTCTTTGTCACTTCTCTCACCATCTATTTCTAAATTTGCAACAATGTCGTCTCAAACCCATCGATTTCCACATTTCTGCTCGAAATGTTTAGCTTCCACTGTCCCGTGTATTGATCCTCTGTCTAATAAATGGCGTCATAAGCTTCAATGAATGTTTGAACAAAATCAGATTTCAAACAGTAGACAGTGTTTGCCTTTTGCCCGGGTACGCCATACCCATGGATGGCAATTTAATTTGCTATGTACTCACGGGGTATGATATAAGAAATATTTGCATTTTTGGTGTTTGTTTTTACTTTATTTTCAGGTTTTATTCGATAATAGGAGAGGGTACTTTTTACCCTTAGGAAAGTCAAAATAGGCACTGCCCTTATTGTTGTTGTTTTGTTTAATAGTGGGTTCCATGTTTTTTATTAAATCAATTAAATATGAATTAAACATGCTATAATTTTTATTTTTAAGTGCATGGGTGTGGAAGGGAGTTTTATCATATTCACTTCACTTTGTTCTACCCCTTCTTCCTTTCCTTTCACTGTTTATTGTTTTCCCCTTTTTTCGCCATTCGATAAGGGAGGAGAGATAGGGGTGTACACCTGTGTATTTGGTAGCTCCGTAAATAATGGTAGCTTTGCCTGTAAATGATTGTAATTTCTAAACTTGTACGTATCGAATGTTGCTATTTGATATGCCTAAATGAAACTCAGTCTTCTTTAGTCTTTCCTCTGTCTTCCTCTGTCTTCCTCCTCCTCCTCCTCCTTCTCCTCCTCCTCTTACTACTACCTCTACTACTTCTACCACTACTAGTACTTCTACTTCCGCTACTACTACTACTACTACTACTACTACTACCCGTACTCAAACTAAAACATTTGTTTAAATGTACAAATGAATCTATGATTATGTATGAGTGGATAATGATTGATGCCAAAAGATACGCTCAAACAGTAACTTTTAAGGACGCGGGCTTAACCAGTTCCCGCTTTATCTGTTTGAACCCGGGACGTGGTAAACTGCAACACATTACAAATTTCCTTTCAAAGACCAGCGCTTCCAGACAAGAAATACTTGGCAATACACATCTTTAAGAGCCCCCATCCTAGAACAAACATGGTCATAAAATATGTATAAAGAAATGTCACTTTTAGCGCCACCATAAAACGTTACCAGGCAACGGTTTTATCATTTTCTATTCTTTGCATTTCTCAGGGCCCTTTTTTCTCCATATTTACAGTTGCTCCGATGATATCGATCTGGCAGTGAAGTGAATAGAGAATAATGAATTTGAATCAATTGCTAATGACCTTTCCAAAAAAAGTGGGTGTATACGGCGCAATGAAACACGAACCCGCATTTGAGAACAATGGCTGCATTTTCAACAAATAAAAAAAAAGAGCAAACGGAATTTAAAAAAATAATGTAGATACGGTCTACACAGTTAGATTGAGGTTCGTGTATTCACACCACAGAAATTGTGCCATAACTTGTTTAAATTTATAGCAATATGCTCATCAGAAACTGTATACAACGCGATTTGTATAATTCTTTATTCAAGGCAGTATGCATTTCACATAAATTTGAGACGATTGCTGATTTTGATTTTAATATAGTTTAGTACCGTGAAAATAGTGCAGCAGGCCCTTTAGTAATTTAAAATTTGAATTAAATTTACAAGGTAACTCACAACAACAAGAGCAGTAGTAGAAGTATTTGCTGTTATTCTACTAATGTTTCTCCTTCTCAAAACCTCCTCCTCCTCCTCCTCCTTCTCATGCTAATGCATGTGGGGCAGACCCAGGATCGTTAGAAAGGGATTGAATGAAAACTTTTGTCTTTACTTCACTAAGTTCCGCCAAAAGAAGGAGAAGTACAAAGAAAAGAAATAGAAGAAGAAGGAAGAAAAAGAGGGGGACGAAGAAGAGAAGAAGAAGAAGAAGAAGAAGAAGAAGAAGAAGAAGAAGAAGAAGAAGAAGAAGAAGAAGAAGAAGAAGAAGAAAAAAAGAAGAAGAAAAAGAAGAAGAAGAAGAAGAAGGAGAAAAAGAAGAAAAAGAAGAAGAGGAAGAAGAATTTAAGCATTGTTACTGTTAGGAAAGAAAAGATAGGTATGGAGAAAAGGGGGGAATAGCGCAGCAGTAATAAAAGGTAGAATTATGTTAACATAAGTAGGAAATATAAACATCTTGAATTTAAGACGATTCCACCCCTTCTTTCATTAAACGATTTCACGATCACTAGCGCGATAAATCACTATCGATTTCCAGTCAATAGGCTGGCCCTTAATTACACGCCTGCATGGTAACCAGCTCTGCAGTCAGATCACAAAAAGATCCATTATTGTCATTCCCGCACTTTGTTTTGCCGCTGGGTCATTATTCAAGCTTCCAATTTCACCATGGCGATTATTGATTGCCAGGAAATTAAATAAAATTTGCTGGTTTGTTCGATCTATCTAGATGCTGGCCTTCTGGGATATTAAACTCCGCACGTCATGGAGCTCGTGAACAATTACAATTTGATATTGCATGGATTTGATGATATTATTTCGTAATCCCGCATGGCTCAACTTGGCGCGAACGATGGGAATAGTGAGCATTGTTCATTGTGAGTTATTGTTATACAGTAATTCATTATAGCAAATCAGATGCGAGATGTATTTGAAAATATGCCTCAATCACGTCAGAGGTTTGTTTTTAATTATTGTTATTAGACAGCACCAAACAAATTAAAAGACAAGAGACACAATGCCGATTCATATTCCACAATCATAAAGCCATATTCAGTATAACGCTTTCTTACAACTCAAGTTACCATTTGACATTTGAAATTTTCGTGGAAGTCATTTCCATGTTCAATGATTTGGCTTACAATATAGACAATGAGACCGCTAGGTAGAAAATTTTAAAAGGACAGAAAGAAAGGAATAACGTTATAAATTATGATAACTTAGTCACACGTACCGACTACTATGTCGGTAAAAAAAAGGAAAGTTCGTTTTCAAAAGCTAATTGGGAGAATTTTTTATAACATTGTTGCCTTTCGAAAATGTATTTCAAGGCTATCATACAAAAGTGCGAATGAATTGGATCGTGGTTTATTCATGAATAAAAAACAGTTGCGGTAATGTATATATGAAATCTAACGTAACGAGTTAATTTGATATAGTGGTGACATTTGATATCCAATTAGTTTTTCTCTTTTGGAATTACAAAATGTTGCTCAATACTTCTTCCTCTCCATCTCTCTAACTTTAAATTATATTATATCAGACTAGGAATATGAAAACATATTCATGCGATTTACATTCCTGGTCGTCTTTCATTAAAATATGATAAGGTAACCCTTATGGTACAGGGCTAGGGGCCCGTTTCATAAAACTGTTTATCTATAACAAATGCTAAATTTCTATGACAAATTTGCTCTCAGCCAATTACATGCCATGATTTCAGTAGCTTATAACAGTATTTTGTAGCTTGTTATTGATATCAAGTTTTATGAAACGGGCCCCTGGGTAGCCCGTCACTAAACTAATGATATTATTACATGTATAATTAAGTTAACCTTAACAAATGTAAGTTGTCATGTAAATAGTAGCAATGAAAAACCCCAGCACTAATGAAAAACCCCAGCACTAATGAAAAACCCCAGCACTAATGAAAAATCCATATTGAAATTCAATATAGTATGTACAAAGTAAAGCATAAAGCACTGTCCTCTCATGTCAATCCACGTGTAGTTAACGTGTACTTTAATATTGTCTATTTACGTATTTCATATGCATATAATAATAATAATAATAATAAACAATATTTATAAGGCGCTTAATACTGGTGTCTCTAAGCGCACCATATTCTGACTTAACAATTATTTACCAAAACTTATAATAAACACACAACTTATACATCTGTTCTTTATTCAATAAATCATGCATATATAATAATAAAAAATAAGATAAGAGTGAGATCAAACAAACATACATACAAAAGGTCAAACATAGGATCAAACATAGGATCGAACAAACAAAAAATAAGACGGTGTGCACCTCCTTTGACCGACTCACAACTGCAGAATATTATTTATGAATTAAAAAGGTGCGTTTTCAGCAAGGACTTGAATTGGTCGAGAGAATGAATATTATGAAAGTGCGCTGGTAATTTGTTCCAAAGGATAGGGGCATTTACTGAGAAAGCTCGGTCGCCATATTTTGTAGCGGTACGAGGTCCGAGGGTTGACTGCAAGGTTGATGATGATCGAAGAGGTCTTAAAGAACTAGAAGAACGTAAGGAAATCAAATCTGAAAGATATTTAGGGGCTTGGCCATGGAGAATTTTGTATGTAAGAAGAAGAACTTTGAATGTGATACGATGGTGTATGGGAAGCCAATGAAGAGAACGCAATATTGGGGTTATGTGCTCAAACTTTCTCGAGAGAGTAACAAGCCTTGCAGCAGTATTCTGAATTCTTTGAAGTGGAAGTAGGGACGATTGCGGAAGACCAGAAAAAATTGAATTACAATAATCAAGGTGGGAGGATACAAATGCATGGGTTAATTTTGCAGTTGTGGGCCGGTCAAGTAGTTTCCTAATTTTCCCAATTTTGAAGATTCCAAAAGATGCCGATTTACATACGTTTTTAATGTGCTGTTGAAAATTAAGATTTTTGTCGATTAAAACACCCAGGTCTCGAACGTATTCACTACCCTTCAGTGAGCCATCTCTGGTAACCAAGTCGGGGAAGGAATCGGTGTTTCTGAATTTGGAAGTAATGTGGATCATTTCAGATTTTCGTTCATTAAGGCAAAGTCTATTGTTAGAAGACCAGAACCTAATGTCTTCAAGGCAACTGCTGAGTTTCCGAGTCGCATCATCCTTCCCGTTAGGCTTAAGAGTTATATAAATCTGAGTGTCGTCAGCGTACATCGCATGTTGAATCCCATGGTGAGAGTTAATGACCTTAGACAGTGGGCTGGTGTAGAGAACGAAGAGAAGTGGGCCGATTACGGAACCTTGAGGAACGCCGCAGATCAGTGGAAATGTTGCAGAAGGCGTGTCGTTGATGATCACACGTTGACTGCGATTGTGGAGATATGAGCGTATCCAATCAAGCACAGTTCCGGTGATGAAAAAGTCATTTTCCAGGCGATGAAGTAACAGGGTATATACAGAATAATAATTCAAAATCGAGTCGATTCAAATATAACATCTGTAGAATTAATAGTAAAAATATGCATGCACAAGTTGTCGTGGGGCTGTAAATATATCTAATCCATCGGAATCACATATGGCGAGAGTAATGGTTCGAGAGTTAAAACAAAAACAGGCCAATTATCCCTAATGGAGCTCTCACACTCCGCCGTGTAGGCCTACCGTCCACCTGCCGGGCTATTAAAAAACAACAGAGTCCAGAACGTTGGGTTTTGAGCGAACTTGTCCCCGGCCGCAAAAAAAAAAATCATAAAATTAATCTTTTCACCGTTTCGTTGCCATCTTCTGACCGTTCTCACCGGGCGCATGCCGGGTGTTGAACGTGCTTCTACCGTCTTCACCGCCCAGATTGACTTTTGTTGACAATTTTGGCCGTTTCCATACCGGGCCCATACCGGGTCTCGAACGTGTGCACCGGGTTTGTAGCAGCCACCTACCAGTCACTTAGCGTCCCCTCACCGCTCGGAGCGTCCTGTGAGCGAGTCCCCGGACTGCTGACTGCTGCCATAAATACCCGATTTGAACGGCAACGGTCAGTCCGCTCTCCATTTTTCATCACCGTTCTGTAACGTGTTATGAGCGTGTTGTGAACGTGTTCATACAGTGTGACCGTTTTCATAACGTATTCATACCGTCCTCATACCGTTCAACACCGTCCTCTTGCAGCTTACTTACGGCCGGTGCCAGCCGGCCAAAGTTTTGAACATGCCCAAAACTTTCGCCGGGTCCCACCGGGTGTAAATAAGCGCAAACGCCCTATTAACGTGTTGCCCGCTTTGATAACGAACCACCGTGTGCCCTCGCCGTTCTCCACCGTCCGCAGACATTTTCGCGCACGGTGGCACACGGTAAGCCTACACGGCAGAGTGTGAGAGTCACTTAACCATTACAGCTATATAGGACATCTATTGTGAGGTGCTATCGAGTCGTCCCCGACTCCTGGTCACGCCGCCGTGGCAAACTTTCTACAGGTTACTTTGTGATGAAAGTTTGCACAACACATTAAAGGACTTGTATGTTTCTATGGTCACACATTATATCCATCTAATCCTTTACATTACTCTTCTTTTCTTTACCCTTTTATCCTACTCCATACTCTTTATCTTAAAGTGTGTCTAAATCCGTATCAGGACACCTACCCCCTGGACATCCAACCCCGGATAACCACCCCCACTCAACTACCCCCTAGGGCAACCACCCTCTAGGACGACTACCCCCGGGACAACCATCCCGGACAACTACCCCTAGGACAACTACCCCCGGACAAGTATCCCCAGACAAGTACCCCCTAGGACAACTACCCCCGGGACAACCATCCCGGACAACTACCCCTAGGACAACTACCCCGGACAACCACCCCGGACAACTACCCCTATGACAACTCCCCCCCCCCCGGGACAACTACCCCCAGAAAAGTACCCCCTAGAACAACTCCCCCCGGACAATCACCCCGGACAACTACCCCTAGGACAACTACCCCCTGGACAACTACCCCCATACAACTACCGCCTAAATCAACCAAGTCTATAGTTCACAGCCTCCAAGGAACAGCTTGGTTGTAGGTCATCAAGCACGGATCTGTTTGTTCTCCAGACTGTCTGTGGTATTCTTAGCATCCTAATCCACCACTACATTTTAAATAAGTCTAATTTCTTTCTGCTGTTTTTACTGTCCAGTATTGCCTTTCATACAGCACTATGGGGAAGACTAACGATGATTGTCATCCTCATCTTTGTTGCTTTGCTTATAATACATCTTTATCTTTCATTATGTTATCACGCCGGGACATTGCCGTATTTTCCAAGTAATATGCGCCGTCCTATTTCTGCAACACAACCATCAACCTTCTCTAGTTTGGCTTCAGGGGAGGCAAATCTATTTACCACTGAAACATTTTCTTTGCCCAAGATCAAGTTTGATAATAAATGAACACTACTCTCGTTTTCTTGATGTTTTTGACTCAGTGAACACTTTCTTCTTGTAATTTGAGATCTGTATCCTTATGTTAAGACTTCTTTTGGAGTGTGTAAGTGAGGTATTTTAAGAGGGGGGGGGGGGAGTTTCCCGCCAGTATTTTTTATATGGGGGGTAAAGTTGATCTTGACAGTACTTGTACGGCGGGTAGCTGTGCAGGGGGTAATTGTCCCACAAGGCGATAGTCCCGGGGTTTCTTTGGTAAAGTGTTCCGGAGGTAGATGTGCGGAAAAGCTGTAGTCCAGGGGTAACTGGCAGTGGGGCAGGAGTGAGGTAGATTTATGGGAAGAAAGTTGAATTACAAGCTTGCCTGACCTAGCTTGCTAAGTCTAAATCCACAATTCTTTTTCCGATTTGTTCATTTTTTCAGCGGCGTTTAACATACAAGGATGCTACAAGGTCGACGTCAGCAATCGCATCTTTGTGACGTCAGCTGGTGACTATGACCCGGACGATATTGACCATGATACCTGCGCGGATGCCTGTGCAGTCCTCGACTACCAGTATGCCGCTCTTACAATGGGTCGCTATTGTCTGTGCAGTGACGATACCTACTCCAGTTCCATAGTGAGCACCTGTGACCGCACATGCAGCGGTGACGTCTCTCAGGAGTGCGGGGGAGCCGAGAGCGACACGGTACTCAGCATCGTCCTGACGCGCGCAGCGGTGCAGCTCAACAGCACCAGTGACGTCTTCGTTGTTGGGCAACCTCGGTCCCTTCAACCCGACGTCACAGGAGCTTCAGTGACAACGTCGTTCGACTATGGTGACGGATCGCATGCTACGGCTGACGACGCAGTGGTGACAATGAATCACGTGTATGCAGTCCCCGGTCAATATGTTGCGAGCATCTTTGCTAAGAACAGCTACTCGGTGAGTTTTCTTTGCAAATGAGGATGTTAGTGTGCTTGTGCATGTGTGCGCGGGGATGTGTGTGTGCGTGTGTGTGTGTGTGTGTGTGTAGGGGGGGGGTACCCCTCATGTTGAGTATATATCAATGTCAAGCAGCCTTTTCACACACAGCTAAAATTCATCGTTTCCAGAGATGATTAGAATCACTCAACAGTTTTAAACATGTTTATAGAAAATTTTTCCCAGTGTGAACATCGTTTATACGATGTTGGGATAGATACGAAGTCGCGATGCATACGCCCCTAAAAGCAGGCTGCCGATACGAAGTTCTTATCTAAAGAGCTTGACATTTTGTGTGTGAAAGGTTTTTCGTGTTTAAACGTGTTTAAACTGGATGGAGCGACCGCTCTGTTTGATCAGGGACGTGATAGAGAAGGAAAGGAATCAAGCCGCTCTCCTTTGACCCCATGCTCCAAGCCGCCGAAAAGTTATGCGCTAATCTGCAACTGTTGACCAGGTGGTGAGATAAAAGAGCGCATGAAATTTCAGGATTTAGAATTCCTACATCAAAAAATAGTATCACTGCAACTGTTCGCTGTCCCTTTCAATGATTTCTCATCCATTGTTGAATGTGTAAAGAGTAGAACAAGCGAACACAAACGTGTGTACTTTCATCCTTTTTTAAACTTTAAAAATACAAAAAAAACACGCGAAAACACGCATTAGCAAACTTAATGTTTTTGAAGATTGTAAATCATGGATCAAATAACGGGAGATTAAAGCATGCACAAATTAGCGCATCATCCTAAAATATTGAGTTTTTGACAGGATGTAATTTTTCTTTTACCAACTCTGGCACACAAATTAAAGGAAGGACGGAGTTCTAAATTTGAAAATTTGTTTGATGCACTATTCCCAATAAAATCCCCATATAAAGTTTTTGATTTACACTGAAATTTTGCCGGTAATTTAAGATTTTGTAATAAATGTAAAACTGGTGCCTGGCTTCCGCCGGGCTTCCGAAAGTCCCCGCAGTGGAAGCGCGGTTCGGAGCATGGAACTTCAAAGCCAAGTGGAATGTTACACATCCCATTGTTACGCTTTAGAACTCAAGAATGCGTTTGAATAAATTACAAGAGTTGCGCCTCCTTTTCTTTCACCTCCCTGGTTTGATATGACCTGACCTTCAATGCGCAATGGCACTACTGCGCATTTTACGAGCAGTAGTTAATCACGAAACGATTAACGATCGCAACGAAATTTCTGTGTGTGAAAGGCTCGTGATTAATTTAAACACGTTTCAAACACGTTTATACTAATCATGTTTATATAATTTTAGCTGTGTGTGAAAAGGCTGAAGGGTGTGCTCCTGCTCTGCATTGCCTTTGAATTTCATACAATTATGCAGACCTACAGAAATTAGATGATAAGAAGTCTAACAGTTTAATGTTTCAGGTGCTTGACAGTTTTCACTTTCCAGTAAACTAAACAAAGAAATGTACTCATAAGATACTTTTTTATGTACATGAAATATTTCGATTGCTTTTTAATATCATTGTTTTATTGAGTTTAAGTATTAATTATCTGTATGGGTTATCACCAACTTTTGAAAGATGTATGGAGCTTTATAATAGACTTATACCCAAGTCAGACTGACGAGACCAACAGCAGACCGACAACAGACTGGACAATTAATGATATTACCCCCTCCCCCCCAATGGTTAAAGAATCAGTCTGTTTTTGGATTCAGTGTGGAGTGTGATTCGCGGTATGAATGAGGTTTTAAATCTTATGAAAACTACTTAGGTAAGTTCTCCCTTTATCATTGTGAACTAAATTTATGTTGCGTCTATAACCCTATATTTTGTAATACGTAACGTTATTCCAGATATTGGATCCACAATAATTCAGAAAGTGTAAGGGTCTATCCCGTTCTTTCATCAGGCAACAGGGCACAGGGATATCACCAATTTGTCCTTTGTCCTCAGGAAGGACCGAGAAATACGTCCCGAAAAATTCGGCAAATACGAAGCTGGACAATGCAAAGCCGGGGTAATAATAATTGTGAAGCGCCAGGAGTGTCAAGTTCGACAGGCATGAACGTTCTATAAGAACTTACTATTATGATGATGATGGTAATTATTTTCTGTCTATATCCCTTGCACAGAGTGCCTTCGCCGGTGCGCAAATCACTGCCTACATGGGTATTACCGATGTCCAGATGGATTGCCCGGAGGTAGTCGAACCATCGACATCGTTCACCTGCTCGATCACCGTTACCGACGGTTCTGATATGACCCTGTCGACGAACATCGGAAGTTCATACCACATTGGGAGTAGGTTCAGAATAACGGATGATGCTACTTTAGTGTATTGTGATGGGAATATGCAATGCATTTAATTGCTTTATTTATCTATTTATCTAATTCAAGTATTATACAGTAATAATTAAATTCCTCAAAATAGACTCAAGTTGGATCGGTCTATGCTCTCTTATTATTGCATTGTCATGCATCGCTTTGATTATTATAATTGGAAAGTGTGTTTACTCTTCTTTAAAATTACACCATATTTGTTGTGGTTTTCAGCCAGTAAGCAGTACATCAGAATGAGGGGCAGGGTACACAAGTGAAAAGTTCCAAAATGAACTGGTTAGCATTAATATTGTAATACAGAGCACTCGTCTTTCTTTTACAAAAGAGAGTGTGATGTTATTAAAAAACAGTGGGGCTATTGTTTCCAAGTGGTCACCATGAATGCCAAAGTCTACGAATCTGAAACTTATATTCGTGCACAGTCAGATCCGCTACTATTAGGTCATCAACTTTCTGAAGCATCATGCATAGGTTAGTAGGGCAATCAAAGTGCCCAGTCGAACACGAGCAGTGCATTTTGCAACTTTTTCACTTTTGACCTTGGCCTTTATTTAGATCTACTGCACACTCCATGACTGAGAAATCGTAACGAATGGGTTATAATTTAAAAAAAAGAATAAACCCATGTTCTATTGGTAATTTCCATAGCGATGATTATGCCATGACAAGAGAGATATAGGCGATCATACTGGTGTTTCCAAACGCTTTTTAGGGGTTTACTTTCAAATTGTTTAAAATCATTTTTTATTTAACAAATGACAAATGGCATTACGTAGTCTGGACTTGATTTCTATGGGACATTACAATAGGGTATTGAAAGTGCCATTGAGATGAATATTCAAAATAAGTAGCGATCGTGTTAAAATGTCATTTGGTGGACGACATACGGATTACAAACTATGCGGTACCTCGTTTATGTACATATTTCTCCTCATGTTGGCCTATTTCTACACGAGGGCAAATATGAGAGATTAAAAGAGATGCGCTCTAGCTCAATGTTTTTGTCAATAGACCGGTTTATTAACATATCCAAATGTATGGGTTTCCTTCCTGGGGACCTAGTGACGAGTTATTCCAATTACCGGTTATTAATTAATAATCGAAAATACTAGGAATCCAGTCTGCATATATTACTTGTTGCTATGTCGTGCAAGCCTCGGACAAAGTAAACAAATGTTGTCAAGAACAACCTTTGTCGGCAAAGTACGCATACAATTTAAACGTTTGTAACCTGAACAGGTCTATTCCGACTTTCCCATCCCATTTGAATCCTGGATTTGCCACTGATATCTAGCATGTTTTTCCACCTTTTTCCCCCCGCAGCACCAAATACCTTCTCGGTAGGAACTGTCTCGCAATATGCCCTGTCCACCCTACAAAGTGACGCCGTTTTATCAGACACCGTATGGATCTTACCGGGCCAGGAGTTTCTTGATAATGGGGTCATCCGATCGGTGGAGGTCAATGTTGACGCTATTGGGACGATTAACTTTCTGGTATGAGTATGGTGCTTTATAGCATGATGAAACCAATCATGACTATCAATGGTGGTATTCTTATTAATAGGGAAAGGGTTACGCATCGTACTAACAAAACATTTATTATGATAATGTTTATACTGGAATGTTAAAGTTAGTATTATTATTTATTTTGTATTTATTTTATTTTTTGGGAGGGGGGACGGGCCATTGTTACAAGCATGGTGGCGTTTAGCAATAAAACAATAGGTAGGGACTAGGGGTAAACATTATCTATTTTAATATGTAATTTTGTTTATACTTTTTGAGCATTCGTGTGAGAGGATGATTATTCAAGCAGACGAATTCTCAAGAAATGACAAAAGTACTCGACTCGTCTTACGAAACCGTCATATATTGTAAGTACATGTACAAGTTCGCCGAAATCCCATTGAAATGCGTGTAAGCTTTAAAACACGGGATTAACTCAACTTATCTCACTCCTGCTTGTAATAATGTAATAATGGCCCCTGCGCGCCCCCCTCCCCCAACGGGGAAATAACATACCTGTAATTACATACAATAATGAATATTTTTAACTAGAACTGGTAACAACAATAACACTATACGCTAATACCTGTTTTGATGATTGGGATATCAGTATATGATTTTGGAAATTACGAGGATGGTTGTGGTGCAAAGGCCATTGGCGATTTTCTTAAAATTAACGATTACTTTACACTAGATCCTAGAACCATTCTGCAGCGGCGCAGGTGAAACCTACTGCCTAATTGACAACCAGTGCACGACGTCACAATGTGGCTACGATTCCTCGATGCCGACCAATCCCTTGTATCATACCTACTGTGATTCGTCCACGCACGTCTTCTGTTTATCCGAACACCGTTGCGCATCGAAATCCGACGAGTCCACCTGCGATGCAGAACCGGACCGGTACGCTTCATCCACGGGCGACGCTAGTCGTGCAAGCTACAGGGTCAGACACGTCATTACCAAGACAGCTACCACTACCGGTTACAACTACTTCGAGATACCCTTCGCAGACAGAACCGCAACTGCAGAAATCGGAGATGTCTTAGGCTACGCGGTTAGTACAGGGACCGCTATAATTAGGTATGAAACTGCGGATACCGATGAAGCGGTGGCGTTCAGTCTAGCGACGTCGATACCCGTGGCAGGGACGCCGTACTCCTCCGGCTTTACCGCAGAAGCAAAGCGGTTCCATATTCGGTTGACCGCTATTGATCCCATTTCTGTCATTCTGGAGCACGTATACCCTAATATCGGAACGAACAACATCTCAGCGACAGTCAACAACACACTGGACTCTGCAGGTATCACGGCCGAAAGTGTGGTCGAGGTACAGATCCCCATTCTCAGTGAGTAAAACATTCTCTCTGTCTCTCACAATTTGTCACTCACTCACACACGCTCTCTCTTCACATTTTTTTTTACTCCCCACCCCCTCCCCTTCTTTCGCACCTTTCTTCCTATCCTTTGTCGATTTTTTTCTCTCGCTCTATCTCTCAAGCTCTCGCCTTTTTCCTACATCTCTTTCTTTCCTGGATATTTATATTTTCCTTGAAAAAAATTGGTAAAATAAAAAACGGTAATATTGTACACAGAAATAATAAAAAACATTTTAACACTTGCCTACTCAGCGGGATTTAGAATGATATTAAGATAATATTGATATTTACATCGGCCATCGTCTTACATCAGTGTCGTCGGAATTGGAGGAGGGGGAATTTGTTATTATTTTAGAAATCTTGTCGGAGGGGGGGGGGGGGGGGTGAGCCGGAGGACGCTGATTTCCACGAAAAGGCCATATCCGTAGTTTTTGTTTATTCAACTGGGATGGTGCGCCCTATTATGTCCCATAAATATAGCAAAGCCTTTCATGAATTGGACTATTTTCAATCAGTAACAAACAGAAGCAACCCAATGATATTAAACAAATGCTAGTTGTGGGAAATCAGTAAAAGCAAACATGTTTACAACTGTTGTACATGTGTTCATTCATCTTGTAGTAAAACAATCTTACTGGCCATAATTTACAAAGGAGGTGTAACTCATGGTTTAAATCTGGTTTAGACCATGGGTTAAATTTAAACTTAGACTAAATAATCTACGGTTTAAAAAACCGTGGGTTGGATTTAAATCTCCTTTTTAAAATTCGGGCTATTGTTTTTAATAGAAGAACCCGCTTCAGCATATTCATAAAGTATCTAAATAATGACCCCCGCACCCCCTCTGCACTTGGCAGAATATATATATGTTTTACACATAACATTACAAGGTTAAAGTAATATTTTGAAACTTCCGATAACAAAATCAGTGACACACTCCCACTGATCTGATCAATATTTTCCTTTGCTGTGATTACCGTTTGTAGATCTGGAGATAACTCTCACCCCGGACCAGCCGTACTTTGCGAGCGAGGCTAACATCTCAGTGACACTATCGGTCGATTCAGGGGATCCCATAGACTTGGAAATCGACTGGGGAGATGGAGAAACAAACGTGTCTGCTGGCTTATGTAAGACAAACGTCTGCTCACAGTAGCAAGTATCGTACTAAGCTTTAACCCCGACGCTTGGCCTTCCGTCGAAATTAACCAAGGAAGTCTACGGCTCGTATTCTAATAAAAATTTACACCCGACGCTTGGCTTGAACTTTTGTTTAAAACTGAAGTTGGTCTTAGTTCAAAGTTTTTTTCATTGTTAAGCGTGCTCTTAGACTCAGGGTCTGGTTTAACTTAATTTGTAAAAATTGGCCTATGTTTTTCACTTTCTTCAACATGACGTACTCCAAGCATGAAAAGAGTCGGGTTTAACTCAAAGTTGAATTGAGTTCGCCCAGACAAAAAGCAGACAAATGTCATACTTCGAAGGCAGAATTGTACACATCTGTATATCCAACCCTTGGAAACAATTTGTATGTGTTACGTAGTACCTCAAAAGTATCTGGTGGTTTGACAGCTTTTCTATAAAGATAGTTTGAAAATGAAATAAGTTGTATGCATTTTCTAGACGATCGTCGTCTTTTTCTTTCTATTAAAGTAAACTGCTGGAGGCCCTATGCCAGGAAACCCTGCTGCCAGTGTTAATGTGACAAACATTGCATTTATAAGTAAATCATTATTTTATTTGAACAATCGGAGCGTAAGAACGAAGCTTGCATGCATTCATGGCCTTAGTTACTTTTTGTCAGGCAAAATTTTGGCAAGTTTTATGCTAAGCAGCTAATCCCTCAAGTATTTAAGCATTCCCTGGAACCTAATACATTCTTAGGTATTAACTGGTCTATTAAAACAAAATTATAAATAGGAACACATTATTGACGTTTCCAAATTAACTCCTGACCTTTTTAAGACAAAGCAGAGTAATATGCATGTCAGATACCTCGAGGTTTTTTCATGAAACATCATATTAAGTAGCGTACAAGTTAAAATAGCTGACACCCCGCCATTAATAATACGCTCACTTTGTTTAGATGTCGGTAAACGAGTACTAAAGGCGGCGTCGTGAGAGGCTGCCCAATTTTAAAACATGGTTGGCACTCTGTACAGAGAACAGTAAGACTTATGTCGATTTTTTCCAGCCTTTTGTTACCACAATGGTCCATTTGCTTGTTTTTTGTACAGCGGCTCTACCGGTATTCAACCATTTCTACGATGACTCTAACGGCTTAGTCACTATTACGGTCACCGCATCTAATCTCCATGGAAACGAGACAGCATCCAAAACCATCTACATCCAAAATCCTGTACTCGAGGAGCACTATAGAATCCTGCCGGACACTCCCGCTTCCCACCCTTATCCCAGTCCTGAGCAGGGTAAGGTTTGCCTTTAAAGATTTCTTATTTCCACTCCGACGTTTCCAAAGTAACAGAAATCGTGATGAATAACAGGAAAGTGATTATTATACAGTTTCATGACCAAAACTCTTTAGTAACTAAGTTTTAGGGGCTTGCATCATGCAAGCATTGCTTCTTTAGCGTGACCCTCCCTATATTATATGCATTTAGGTCAACAATTTTCACGTGCTCTTTTTCAGTTCTTCATTATTTCTATTTTGTCTTCGTATAAAATCGTATTATTTTGTTCCATATCATAATTGAGTTTATACATACTTTGTGGAAACGTTCAAATATGTTCACATTGAAAGGGAGATAAATATATCAAAGCAAATAAATCGAAAGAAATCATTACGACATTTACGTTATTAAATGAACACAGTTACTCATTATTTTATACATGTAAACATGAGTTTGAACGTTATAGAGTATTTGATATGGAAGAGATAGACGATTAATAATCAAACCATTATTACCTCCAACTTTCACGGTAAACTTAGTGTGCCCGGGTACACTATTCTTTCCGGGACAATTGATAACCTGAGCATCTAGACAAACGCTGGTATTCACCATGCCCCTTAATTCCTAGGTTACATCAACATCACGGTAGAGCTTCTCGCGTCGAACGGCAAACCTTACGGCACGGACGCAAACATCTCCTTCAGTAGCAGTTACTATGACAATAGTACCCATGTGATGACCCTCTCCAACGAGGGGGACCATGAGAGTTACGCCCATCCGGTCCAGTTTCCAGGCATCTTTACTGTCCTCGTGACTATAAAAAATCTTGTTGCGACAATCACACTCGAAGTTGAGGTAAGATATGATGTGATATAGAGGTGTAGTGGCATAGCGTATAGGTCACTGGATCGTTGACCACAAAGTAAAGGGATCAAATCTCTTCCACAGCACTAACATCATTTGGCGAGACATTAAATCTACATTGCCACTCTCGTCCAAGGTTAGGTAAAGGATAAACTGGTCGGATCATTCATTCCTTGAAATGCACTGTAATCTGATAACAGTTTAAGATCTTTCAAATTGAAAGGGCTTACTCTATACGACATTATGACATAAAAGGTAAGAAACGCTTGTTTATTGCGGATTCGAATGAGAGGTTTTCGGAAGAAGGTTACTATCTCATGTATCTTTAACCCTCTAGGTTAAACTGTACGGCATAATCTCCTCAGACATCCATTTGGACGTCTTCTACCAACCGGAAATACCCCCTGACGGTGATCCTATTGCGGATTACGGAGACAACTATCCGCTGGAGAGACCGATCGTTTTCAAACCAGTGTATTCGTCAGGTAACAACACAAGGCCTTACAGAACAACTACTCAGTAGGACAACAGATACTATCCCTGATAAAATACCCCTTGACAATTATTCCCTTAGAATATAATCGACAACTTACCAACGTGAATATTGTCTTAAAGGTTTAATAGTCAACCAGAAAAAAGGGTTTATGGACTAGTTGTGAGGATCACACAACAGTCCGTTAACTTGTGTTTTATTAAGTGCGTAGTTATCTTGTAGTTACGGACCATGCGAACGCACTCGTGGGTATAAACCTTTAATTTAACTCGAAGTTACAAACTACGATATATCTTAAGGTAAGCAATATAACTACGAGCCGGGGAAGGAGTTATAGGAGCCGAGCCCTTATTCGGAGTTATATGACGTGCGGACGCATTCAACTTCGAAGTTACGCCAGCTTGTAGTTCAAATGAATGCCTTTCCCAGCTTGAAGTTAACCTCGAATACTCGTTGTTTTGATCCCGTGTGAACCCTCGTCGTAGTGGTGTTACTCGGGTTTAGCTTGGACAGGGCATGCAGCTGAAGCCTCCAAACCCATAATCATTATAGGACTTTGTATTAAAAGAACGAAATAATTTCGATTATTTTGTTTCTAGGAATTACATTTAGCGAGGATATTGGCGAAGTATTATTCTGTAGAAAATAGTATTACTAATGTTTAGGTATTATATTTTTTCAAGAGTGACCCATTAAAAGTGATACATCCCTGTATACATGTTTAGGTTAATACCTTTTCAAGAAGACCATTATAATTTCAAGAACGTGACGATACTTTTTGTATTGATGATATCAACAAAATTATTGAATATGGCAGTGTATGTACGACTGAAATGCATCAATAGAACCATTATACTTTAAGTGCCACTCTTCATTCCGCTGATTTCACCTTTTAATGTTCATTTTCAGGAACTAATATCACATTCGAATATCTGGACTTCGGTGACAGTGCTTCGGTGCCTAGAAATACAACTGAAGATACTCTCTCACGCCAATATACAGTGGTATGTAGGAGGCATAAAATGCCCCCCTCCCCCCCCCAAAAAAAAAAAACGAATCCATTTAAGAATTGAAATAAAACTAAAAGTCCAATAATTCTCCTTTCTAGTAATAGTATCAATATTGTTATTACACTTTACGTATTTGCGAAAATAGCCATAAGATGTCATCGTCACACTAAAAGCTTGCAAATGAGTACATTGTATATATTAGATTGAGGTATAAAGTAGTTGTAACGATACGATGTACAGTGATACCCTTTTTGAGGGGAGGTAGTAAAGAGCATTGTTGGATCTCTGATAAGCTAATTACTATATGTATGTCTTTCCGCAGCCTGGAGAACACACCGTAAGAGTTGCTGCGAGCAATCCAGTAAGCGAACGTTACACCATCAGTGCCACATTCCAACTTTTTAGGACAATCCATTCAATAGACGTATCAACCGGGGTGATCACCATTCCAAACCAGCCCAAGAACTTCACCATCACCATCGGCCAGATCGGATACAACTCGTGCTTGGCCATTGACTACGGCGACCACCAGACACCCATCATGTACGGTGAAACGGTGTGCGAGGGGCATTGGAAGTCATCCACGGCGGACTACATAGGTCCTCTTACCAATACCATCAATCTTGTGCATACGTACGCCGACAACGGCAGTTACGTCTTCGCCGTGCACGGTTTTAATCTCGTCACCGATATCGTCATCGAGGAACCCTTCGCTGTGACGTACCTTGAGTGCAACGTGCCAGAAGTAGCCTTCAGCGAAGATTACTCACAATGGATGGACCCGAGAGGAGTAGAGACCTACGACTATGTTCCTCTCAAAACTACGACCACGATCCGTTGTAAAATCAATGACAACTTCAAGGAATGGTCAGTGCGGGAATTCAACAGCACCAGTGGCGAACTCATTCCGGGGCTCTCTCTAAATCTCACGGATCTTGACCCGACTGATGCCTTCTACGTCGGCGAAGCTAACACTGCCGATATCAAGCTGAACGCCTATACATACCCGCCAGGGTACTACCGCATAAGCTATTGTGTCACCATGGACAGCAGTAAGCTAGATGGTGTTGTCTTCACGGCGTGTGCTCGAGAGTACATTCATGTTTTGTCTTTCAGTCTGGAAGCTAAGGTCGTTGACGGACAACTGTCTTCAACTACAATTGGTCATGGGCAGAACTTCAACTTGAATCCCGGGCTCTATTCTAAAGATCCTTCTTTGGACAGTTCGGTAACTGACCAGGTATGTCATCCAGGAGTTGAGCTAGCAAACATATTTATTCTTCATATTTGTCATCACTCACGTAAAACTGTATATACCGCTTCTCAAGCACTATCGAAGGGTTATGACAAAAATAATGATTTTTCCTTTTCCAATTTATGCCAAAATAGGTATAGGACGGTATTTTAATAGTATTGTATTAACCTCGTTTTGCATTCCAGATGTCTATCATACATGGGGCTTTTTTCCTTACAGGAAGCGATAATATACGACTTCAAAAATAAATACAAATTGACTTTCGAAATGTTCGACCAATCACTGTCGTCGTGTACTTATGACTTGCATTTCGTTTTGGGCAGTTTTATTCAGTTCCATTGAAAGCCAGCCAGTGGACAGAGCTTTTCAAGAAAACCATACATTTTCCAAAAATCCATGCATCAAGTATCAAGCCTGTATCACGTTCATAGAATGATTTGTAGAATACTTGTCTAGGGGTACCGTTATTGACTCACACGGGCCAAGTGTTCGAAATGGTTCATATTCACATCTTGTATCTGTCTGCAAATATCCTTCACACAAACATAGGGGATCAATGTATTCAAGTACTACTGCAAGCGTTTTTATGAGGAATTTCGACTGAACAACGACAAGACCCTTGTTGACACACCAGTGGATATAACAGGCGATGGGGGCTCTGAGGGAGGGTGCTTTGGGACTGGTCCCGGTAGACTGAATTACGACCAAAGCAGTCTTAACCTCAACACCTGGTGGATGGACTATAACATGACCTATGACATGAAGGTGGTCATCGAGAAAGGAACTATTTCCGGTGAGGTCGCGTTCGAGCTAAAGATTGTCAGCGGGGATCCCCCTCAACCCGTCATAAGGTAAACATCTCCCTTTGACAGTTGCCACGTTAAAGTGAACCGGTAACATTGTTGAAGGTTTTTTTAATGAAAATTTATTTATTATATTCCTTCTATTGAACTAACCATCTAGCATGCAAAACATCCTGAAAATACCTAAAACCACAGAGATATTTATGGTTTCATTGAAGGCGTCACAGCAAATTCTCCCAGAGGTTTTTCCATGACATAAAACAGGCTTTTAAAATTATGTCAACACTTGAGTGCTTGGAATGGTTTACAGAGCCAATTCATTGCTTTGTGACGATTCCATTTACGTAAGATTTAATATAATTATACAAATATGGTTGGCAGAACTTAGGAATCAATTGGACCAGTTTTTCTCAATATCTTTATTGTACATCTAGCATCGAATTCACCACCTTAACGCCATTTTCTATCATCTGAACAATGTTACCTAGTATAAAATGGAGATGTGAAACGATTCGAATGTGACACTGTTGGTCATAAAGGTGGAATAATTTTTTTTTACCCCAATTTATGGAATGATTTTGATAGTGATTTATTCCTTATAGATCTAGATAATAGTATTAATTCTCAGATTTTATTGAATAATAATTTACGAGTGTCTGTTTTGCGTGATTGCTAAAACATGTGTGTGCTACTAAAAACTAGGGGACCTACGTCATTAAGTCATAACTGACGTTAACAATGATTAATGCCCCACAAAAGGGCACTAATAAAGCACGTTGACACGGTTTTGATCCTGGGGCTTCACAGTTACGAGGCCATTACTTTGCCACTGAATCATGACTGTACCGCAGCAGGGGCTAGGGTAGGGGGCAGCCCCCATAAATTAAGAAAAACAAAGATAATGCAATAAACTATCAATAAGTCATTGTATTTCCCTCCGATCACCAACATTAAGAAATCCTCTGTGTGAAGAATGTTTCTTGTTGGGGACTAGTACGAAGCTGTAGCATTGAACTTGGACCAAGGCTAGCCCTCTACTTAACATTATCGTGGTATAATTTGTGCCCCGACGCAGTGTACTGAGCTAAATCTGTTTAGAGAATTTCTAAATACCAATATTTACCCTCGTTTTGATATCATTCCATCATGTCATCTTGAATTTCAGTTTAGCCCAGGGAACGCCATTCACGCCCGAGTCAAACTCGGTCAAGATCAACCCTTCGGCTGACCTTCGCTTAAGATCGGACTGTGTCGTTGATTGCGACGGTGTGATTTACCGATGGGAGGTGTATGTTACTAACGGAACACATACAATGCCCTTACCGGACTTGGAGAGCTATGCGACAGGTAAGCTACCGGTACCTCGAGTCCCCCTATTTACAGATATAGGGAGGATACGTCTTTGAAAGCACAATCACAATTGAAGCTGATCGAAAGAAACAATACAGAAGTGCAGGAATAAAATACTTTCATTTCAATTGTTTAACTTTCTATAAAGAAGAAGAAGAAGAAGAAGAAGAAGAAGAAGAAGAAGAAAGAAAAGTAGAAGAAAAGAAAAAGAAGAAATAGCATCATGAAAATAATGATAAGAAGAATAGAAGGTATAGATGATGGAGAAGATGGAGAAGAAGAATGAACATTAACGAATTAGTTGGAGGCTGCTGACTTCCTTTGTTGAAGTAGAGTGGCACTGTTGGTATAGCTAACTGTCGAACCATCGTGAATCGTGAATCAGTATAAAGACCAGACGGTTCACGCGGGAATGTCCTTTTTCGCCTTCCTTTCTGGATAGAGGATTCTACGGCACCTTTTATTGGTGTTTTTTCAATAGTTTTTCATGCTGCTCCTATTTTATTTCCTAGATCTTTGATATTTGCAAAACATGTTTCTAAATTGCCTTTTGTCTCGAATCACCGTTCTAGGTGTAAATACTGATGCAATTTTCATCAAGCAAGCGGCGTTCAGCCGACAGTCATCAGGAACGAGCTTTGTAATTCGGCTTTCGGCTACCAACACCGGGGGCGTCGAGGGCATCACAGAGATCGAAGCTCAATTGAACACACTCCCGACAGGGAATGGCTGCGACGTCGATTCTCGATCCATCGATCTCGGCGACTCCGTGTACATTGCATGCATGGACTGGGAAGATGAAGACGGCATATCGTCATACGAATTCTATGGTAAAGCATGTCACTGTGTTAGTCAGAGAGACAGTCGTTTTGGGATGACAATGGACATTACTTACCTTAGAACCACGCTGATCCCGGCGGCGCTGTTAATTGTATAGTACAGTCATTCTACAGAACTGACCCTCCACAAATGCAACAGAAAACAGTTAAACTGTCATATTCTCATGAAATTGTACTCAATAACATGTAAAATGTTCAATGGACCGTGTGTGGCATTGTGGTAACTAAGTGGAAACTTAATCGTTCATAAAGATGAGATTCATGTCAATAATACATTTCGACGCTCGCAATATACATTGATGATTTCTTATGAGGTTTTGTGATGATTTTGTTGTTTTACAGCTGTTGATGACGGTAGCAGTCAACTGCTGTATACGGGTAGCCGATCGAGCACTTTGGTGCCGCTCCCCGTCGGTAAAGTAAACAACACCATTGGAATCTCAGTCGTCATATCAGACCGCTATGGTGCGTCAGTGACAGTCGATGCGGGAAATGTCTATGTAAGTTTTGGTAATCACTAGTAACCAATAAGAAATCATAGTCTGATCACGTGACATAGACCGGTTTACTTAAATATTCAAATGTATAGATGTTTCTCTAGGAGACCTGGTGACGAGATATTCCATTAACTTGTTATTGATGAAGGAACTGCAATACTTGGTATCCATTCTGCATACATATCTTGTTACTTTGTCAGGCAATCCTCGGGCAAGTTTACAGGTTTTAAAGGGCAATCGTTGTTTAAAAAGTGTGCATAAAAGGTTAAAAAAAAAAAAACGTTAGTAAACCGGACTAATACTTGTTATACTAAACCATAATGCACACTATTGATTCTCTTGCTATACGAGTCTTTTACAAATAGTAGTAATTTGAGATTTGGAAATCTAAAAAACATCTTACTGATTAAGGTTCTAAATAATGATAATTAGCATACTAATTTGAATGTATTCCAAATTTCTAGTCAACAAAAATGCCAATTTAAAGATAATGACTTTTCAGATCCTCGATGATTCAGCTTTTGCATTTTTGATTGTTCATATAATATCTGATCTCTTTTAAATTTCAACCTGTTAATGAAGGTGGATCCTGGAGAGAAAGTCGAGACTATTCTTGCAGATGATATTGTGACATCGTTATTAGACAATTACGATAAACTCCAGGCTGAAGGCAGCTTAGTGAGTGTCACCAAAAAAGCTACGATTGATATTTCAGCCCTGAATCTTGAAAGAACTTTCACAAGTATGTTGTTGATTGTAATTTATTTGATCTGGAAGAGCTTTTGTTTCGTTTCAATTCATCAATCTGTCTTCATCACTTCCTTGTTTTCCTCTTCTCATTCTTTGGTTCTTCTTCTTATCATTATCATCATCATCATCATCATCATCATCATCAACTTCAGGTGGCGCTGTAAAGCGCTGCTGTGGCCTTCACGAGAGCACGCCATGCAACTCTTTCACCTGCCATTTGTGTTGCACCTTTCATTCCTTGTCCAGACACTTTCTTAATATCATCAGTCCAAGATATTGGTGGACGACCTCTACCCCGTTTTCCTTCGACTGCTCCTTGCAGTATTTGCTTTTCAATACCTTCAGATCTCCTAACAATGTGTCCAAAATAGTTAAGTTTTCTTTCCATGATTCCCCTTCTGATGGTCAAGTCTGTTCCAATCTTTATCATTAATTATCATTAATTATCAATATTATTACTTGTATTAGTGTTTGTATTATTGGTAGTAGTAGTAGTAGTAGTTGTAGAAGTACTTGTAGAAATAGTAGTAGTATTAGTAGTAGTATTTTTTGTTGCTGTAGTAGTCACTGGCGTACTGATGGGGGAGGGGGTAATTTCTAATTACATGTAGATACCAGTGATTTACAAATTTTGTTGAAATTACCTGATTTTCCGGGATTTGTTCTCACTTTTTTTGCAAATTTTGTATGAGTTTGTTGGAGAAAGACAAATTCCCAGATTTAAAGTCGGGCAAAAGATATGTTTATTTAGAAGCCTACATGTCAGGGCCCGCAGAACGGTGCGGCTCGCGGGGGGGGGGGGGGGGGGGGGGGGGCTCGGGGAGAGAAACAGAAAGAAAGAAAGAAAGTGACCTGCCAGTGTAACAATTGAGGTATTAAAATATGCTTACCTAACCGATATTAAATGCCTAAAACCCCTGAGCTGCTGACTGAGTGGGAAAGAAAAATCACGTTAAGTAATCATGAGATGTTGTTGTATTCTCATCGTTAATGGAATATTCCTTCTTAAGTCATTATTTTGAGCGACTTTCATATTTATTTCATTTGGAGCCTTATATATGTATTTTGAAGAAGAAACTAATTCTTCAAGGTTTTGAGTTAAAATTTGTGGAATGAAATACATCGCAACAACCATAATATTGAGAAAACAGTATAACGCAATCGCCATGTTTAGTGGTCCGATACATCATTAATTTGTTTTGTGTTTTTGAAGAAATATGATTAGAAAATATAATATTGGTAGGGACGGAAGAAAATTCTAAACTCAGAATTCTCGGTATATTGATGCCATTTTCATATAGCCAGTGTCATGTAATACGAACATATCTGTAAAGATACACAACTGGTCCTTTAAATTGATAAAGTGAGGTTAAACCTATGATCATAGACGTTACAAAAAACAAAAAACAAATCAAAATTGCCGTTGACCTTTGAAGAAAGCTGTAGTGGATTTAAATGGCATTTTCTGGGGTCGTATGCACTCGACCGTAAGAGAAGATTGTACGTACAGTGTATAATTTTTATATTCTTTTTTTTATCTCAAATTTTGTATTTGTTCCAGATACTCTAATCGATGGACAAATTGAAACACACTCGGGGAATCTGGGAACAGAAAACATTACCGTCACAGAGCAGGTAAGTCATTAGGATAATCGTATTTATTCGAAAAATATGATTCACAACTGATATACCTCATAAGTGAGATTATACAAGATTATACAAAACCAGGACCAACCAAGCAACCTTAAGAAACTAAATTACTAAAGTAGGCATCAACATAAACTATTCTCAAATTTGTTTGTAAGATAATTATTTATTTATTTTTGTTTTCTGATATTTTACATGCAAGTCATCATCAGCTATCCGTGAATTAGAAGTTGAGAAAATACAGAAGACAACAACACGAGCATATGTGAGTATCAGTCATGCTAATCAGTGGATTGGTATGGTACATGTTATACATAGGTAGGCAGAATTTCAAATTAAACATGCTGTAGTAGTAGTAGTGGTAGTAGTAGTAGTAGGAGTAGTAGTAGTAGTAGTAGTAGTAGTAGTAGGAGTCGTAGTAGTAGTAGTAGAAGTAGTAGTAGTAGTAGTAGTAGTAGTAGAAGTAGTAGTAGTAATATTAGTAGTAGTAGTAGTAGTAGTAGTAGTAGTAGTAGTAGTAGTAGTAGTAATAGTGCTAGTGGTAGTGGTAGTAGTAGTAGAAGTAGTAGTAGTAGTAGTAGTAGTAATAGTGCTAGTGGAAGTGGTAGTAGTAGTAGAAGTAGTAGTAGTAGTAGTAGTAGTAGTAGTAGTAGTAGTAGTGGTGGTGGTGGTGGTGGTACAGTGTAGGTAGGACAAACAGAACGGCTTGTACAATCCAACAACATGTATGTAATTTCTATACTGACTATTGAAATATTTTTCGCTGCGTGAATCTAATCAACAATCTTTTGGCGCAATTGGCGGGAGATGAATAATCGCTTGTGTGCACCAGACCTTAGACATGTAACGGTACAACATGAGTGGTTTTGTCTACTATTTGGACTAAATTGGCTGTTTTGAATAAAATGGGCTTGACTATACTGTCCATGAAGTTAAAACGACTTTTCTTTTACTTCTTTTCATAAAGTAATTGTGAGAATTTGACTTGGATTTTTTTATTAAGGTTATATGGTCTCAGAACTCAATGGCCAAAATTTGTGACGGTACAATATAAGTTTATTTTTCTTTCTATTTCGACTTGACAGCTGAGAAGCAAGATAGCTTCGGTTCAAGCTACAATGACTGTCAATTCTTTAGAAGACGCTCAGATATTGGCCGGATCTGCATTAGAACTCTCACTCTATACTAATGAACTGTCTCAAGGTGCATTGGTGAGTAGAGTTGTGATATTGGCGGAGTTAAGAGGACTAGGGGTAGCCCTAACCTTCCATAATTTGGCGAAACTATCTTTGTCTGCTTGCCAGAGATTTTTGATATGTTTGTTTTTGATTATTTACAGTTTCATTTAAGGAGGATTGCCTCATCAGTTAACAGACTGATACCCCGATGTTCCTGCATAATACAAAGCAATACAAATATATTATTTACAGACTTGATAAATATAAATTGCACACATTATCATGTAAGAGACATGTATAAATTAACAAGTGCGGAAAGCCCCCTTTTTCAGTTTGGTAGACATTGTTGATATTAGGGACTTTTAGATTTGCACAACGACAACGTGGATTGCTACGATCGACGTCCTTTTATTGCACTGCCTTGAATGGACGTCACACGTATTAGTCCACGCAAATCTAAAAGTCCCTAATGTCGATAATCATGCACCATGGAAAAAAAACTCTTGACAATGCTTTCATGATGTTTGATGTCATTCATCGGGGACTGTGTTTTTTTCTTCTTCAAAAAGTGACATGCTGAGAGAACAGACTTTTTGTCAATATGGTTTATCATTGGAATTGTAATTTAGAATGAGGGACGGAGCATGCCTCGGCTTTCTGTATTTATTATAATTATAATCATGCTGATAATTAATGACAACAATAGGGTCTTATTTACCATGGGTCGCCAGAGTTAATAATAATGCTCTTCCCGCAGTCCGTGCACGTATATGGCGAGTGTAGATTTATTTATGACCAAAGGGCATTAGTGCCGGGCTTGGACAGCTCCTACTATGAGACCTAAAGCAGGCTTTTGTTTTAACAAAGATTATGATTTAATCCTATATAGGTAGAACATGTCTCTCAGTAAGGTACTTTCAAAAGCATGTAGTTAATCATAAATATGATTGTCATATCAATGTCTATCGCCCTATGTAGACCTCGCTCAATACTGTAGCTGAAAACATACTGGATGTCACTGAAGAACTACAGGACACCGTGTCAACAGAAACACTGGGCGCAACCACCTCTCTGCTGCTAGGACTTATGGGAAATATACTTCAGGTAAGTCTGTTTTTTTTGGAATGATTTTGAATTAATTACCATAGATCTCACAATAATCATATTCTGCGTTATTAGCATATATCACACTATATTCAGTTCATGCAATTCAATAAAGTATTTGAATCTTTGATAGTAGAATGTTAAACTTATATGAAATCAGTTATATAATTTCAAGTAAATAAGTATAAAGTATACATATTCTTTGTTCCTCCAAAGAACTTTCGCTCTGCATTGTCAAAAGTTTTGTTTCATCATCCTCCATTGCTCCAGCAGCTGTTATTTAATTTGCAATGTAGTGCAGTGCATTTTAAAATGCAATCCAACAGCCATGCCACCCGATTCACTCATCCTGGGTAGCATGGGTGTCGATCCTTACGTAATACCTATTCATCAGGGGGGGGGGATGAATGAATAGAAAGGGTGGTGCCAAACGTCATCGCAAGGTTCTACGAGACAACATCCAAGGCATTTCCCCTGATGATCCCCCTGATGAATAGGTATCAGTTACAGATCGACACCCATGCTGGGTAGAGAGAGGCACCTGTATTCGAACTGGATCACGGGGCATGGTCTTAAAGGGGGTGTAGCATGGCAAATACCGGTTAACGCCGTCTACGACTTCTTTTGGACAACTGCGTTTGGACAACTGCACGTAAACGAATGAACTTGATTAACGGTCAGCGCGCTAGCGTCCTTAAAACAGACCGAAGTTCTCCTCACGCTTCGGTTTCGCGTTTGTTGCACGCACGTGAATACTGCGGTCGCGTCGTCCGTAGTCGTATATACCCGATCGGCCCCGAGTCAGGCCACGGAAACGACATGTAGTCTCGTCATGCTACCCCCCCCCCCTTTAAACCTTCAACGCTTGATACTTTCTTTATCATGTAAAATGACAAGAAAAACATCAAATTTCTTTTCCCCTTTCATCAACAAATTAGGGGTCAGCGTTGAGTGTCCAGGACTCCTTACCGATCCTAGATGAATTTGAGAGCTCAGACGGTGACCAAACCTTTAGCTCCCTTCAAGACTCAATCAGTGCAGCTACTTCTAGTGTGGGTGATGAAGGTTTGTCAAAGTATATTATCAGAATAATAGAAATACAAATAGAAGAGAATAATAACAATAATAATAACAATAACGTTAATAATAATAATAATATTAATGGTAATATTAATAATAATAATAATAATAATAATAATAATAATAATAATAACAATAATAATAATAATAATTAAAAAAAAATAATAATAATGATGATAAGCAGGATAATAATAATAAGACGAAAGATTAAAACATTCATACTGGTAATAACATTCTTTTTTGGTATTATGCATATGATATTATGATATAACATCCCTTTGGGCCTCCCGCTTTGGCAAGTATTACCCCAGCTTTAGCTCCGGTGGCCGTGATCAACTCAGATTGAATTGCAAGGAATAATCATACTAGATCCTCGATACCTTACCTGAGTACAGAGTGGCAAATGTAGATTAACGTCTTGCCAAAGGACGTGACAGGAACTACTTTTCTGTTTACACTTGTGTACCCTACCAACGATTTGATCACATTTGAGAAATTAAACTTTATTTTGATGAGATACGGGGAGGCATAAAGACCTGTTTTTTTTCTTTTAATGAAAATGTCTATAATAATATTATTTTTTCAAAATTGAAAAGTAACTGGAAATGTCATTCCTTGACGCTGGGAACTGACTAGCACCATGGAGTTCAGTTTTGTGGGATAGGTTACACGCTGACATATTTAGAAACAATGATGCTTTGAAACGCACTTTCCTCTTCCTCTCTCTCCTTTTCAGCCACCACAACTGAGTGGACACCCGAAAAAGAGGAGAACCTTCAACGGAAAAGGGACCAGGTAGGAGTCGAACTACTTATAGTTAATCTATCGTTAATTGTATTTGATTCGCCTGACAAACTATTTTGTGTATGGTTAGGATGTATAAAGTCGATTATAAAATCACTTTACTTGCCATTCTGTAGCATTAAACCCCACACATGGAAGCCAAATCCGACTTGGTTCCCGTGTGCGCATTATTATATATTAAAAATAATAACAATCTTATTAATAATCATAACTATAATCATAATCATAATTACAATAGCAGATTTTTGCATCGTACTCAAATCTGTCAAACTGGACACCCCTGGCGCTCCACAATCATCATTGCCGTCACTAAACCACGACCCATCTACTGTATTTGCGCGGGAAATCTTATTAAATTTGAATATGCATACTTTTTCTCCCATCAGGGTCGCGCAGTGGTGACTGAAGCCAGAAATAAAATGAAAGCCATCAAGAAACTCCTGGGAAGGAACATCCTACCCCGGGAGCCTGCTGTCTCCATTCACACAGACACAATTTCAATGACGTACGAAAAGAACACCTGTAGCGATCTGGCCGATCGTGGTGTCAATGAAGACTCCGGGAGCGTCTTCCTCCCCTCGTTGACCGAGCTCGTCGATGATCCCGAGGCAATCTGCGGTAACGATGCCATCATCTCGCGAGAGGTAATGGCATGATGGTGGTGGCGAGTAATGGTGATGATGATAACTGTAATGACGGCTATGTCGATGGTCACTGTGACGATAATTGCGATAATGAAGTTGACGATAATGTGATGATGACGGTGACGACGGTGATGACAATAGTAAAGGTGATGATGATGATAGCTGTGACGACAGTTAAAATGATGGTGATGATAATGATAGTAATGGAGAAGATAATAGTGATGATGATGATGTCGATAATTTAATTTAACTTACGACGATGATGACAATAGTGGAGTTAATGCTGATTGTAATTGTGATGCCGGTTGTGACCATGGTGACGATGTTGATGATAATTGTGACGATAATGTCCATAAGTATCATAACGAAGATGAAAATGAAGAATTTTGTGACGATGGTGATGGTGACGGTGATGAGGATGATAATGATGAATTAGTGATGCTGGATTGTGACAGTGATGATGACAATAATAACGTTAATGGTGATGGTAACTGTTATTACAGTTAGATGATAATGATGATGTAATATGAGTATAACGATGATAATGACGATGGTGATAATGATAATGACGATGATTGAACATAATAAGGTTGTACACGATGATGATGAAAGTTTTGACGATTACGATCACCATGATGAGTATAATAAAAGACAAAAGACCCATAAGTATAAATCTTTTTTTTTAAAGCTCTTCTGCAAATACCATGCATTGTCCCCTTGGCATCTGTATATAAATCTTCATATTACAGATTTTTCCTTATAACAAATAACTCTGTGGCTATACAAATTGTAATATACCATGACTGAATGCTGTGAAAAACTTCATATTTGGCTAAAACCTTTCCATTTTTGCTTCTAAACCGGCAGACAACCTCCTTACCAACGAATCCATACAATTACGAAGAGAGTTCTGATCGTATCTCGCGCGATTCCGGCGTCATGGAAGTCGTCTTCGAAACCCTGGAAGGCGGGGCCATTCCGATCTCCAACGCTAACGCGCCTATCCTTCTCAAGATTGATCGACCAGGTGGGGAAGAACCAAGCTGGAATGAGTTTGGTTCCGACGCTCTAGTGAACGTTACCAATGTGACATACCACAGCTTTGACATCAGCTACAATAACACGGCCTTCACGGTCCAGTTGCAAGTCGAACGCATGTCATGCTATGCTTTGCTTCTAGGGTTTAGCGGCTTCCCTAATATAAGCGGCTTTGATGATATAAAACTGTTCTACTACGATAGAAATGAAAATGGTATGTATTCATAATCGTATTGAGATTCCTAATGTAATATTTTCCACCCATATACTTGTTGCCATAGCCGTGACGAGTTTTGATTAGGAGAGAGACATGGTAAAACAGTGACGTCTTTTGCCCCTTATTCGTGATTTAACCGGATAATCTTACCATCATGTATTATAACATGATTACAACTATTTTCAAAAATTCAAATCAAGGGCAATTTCAATACCCTACTGTATGTCTCAAAGAAATCATGTGCTGATTACATAAAACATTCTTGTCATGTTCGCACATTTCAGTTGGTGATGCATAGGGCTATTTAAATTGCGTTAAGCTGATTTTTCGAAAAGTGTTGCTATCGTATTATTATTCTTAAATATTGCATTATTAAATTAATATAGATTATGTATTAACAAACATATATCTTTGCTGATTGAAAATATTTGTGATTGTCCGTCCTCAAAATTGGAAATATTTGGAGTACATATCTTCGCTTGTCACCCATTGGCACGACACTGGATGACTTGTTAGCGGACTGGGTCTTTATAAAACCAACACCCTTCCCCACCCCCTTTCAAAATGGTCAAGGTATACCGTTGCAAACACTCTGTGTGAAATAATTTGTATCACCTTTGACAACATTGAAACAACCCCTTAGAATGATCAACAAAGTAACTATAGTTCTTAATAAAATAATGTGACGTTTCAGGGCATATCATTCGTTCTTGTCAAATCCTCATTTTTGTTCTTTACTAATAGAATATTGGTAAAAACAGGCGAGTAAAATACATCATAATGTCTTGCTTTGCTTTAAATTCATTAACGAGCACCATTCGCGTTTATTGCCTTTGCGTCACACTCTAGCCACAACTGACACAGTTATCTACCAGGCTTTCTACAGCAGCTCCGTCGTCGGGAACAACGCCCGGAAGTATTATGCCCTGTTGCTCGAGCTTGACTGCGATCAGCTCTTCGATGACTACCCAGATCTGTCCTCCGCAGACGAACTCGAGCTGTCGTGGGCGGCGGGAAACACGAGCCGGAACTTTTCACTCCCGTACGGTTTCCGAGTTCTCTCCTCAGGCTGCTCATACTGGAGCGAAGAGCAAGAAATGTGGCTCCAGGATGGATGCGAGGTAAATATCTGCCACCTTCTGTCACAAAATACCCAATTTCAAAGTTTAGATTTTACAAAAATTGAGTTTTGCCTCTTTGAAACTATGGGCAAACTTAAGCCTCGTTCAGGCATGACACAGCAGTACCGCGCCGGTTGTTTTATGATGACGTAAAGTTTAATACGCTTCATAATCTGTATATTATTTTCTTTAAATTTGTGTTATAATCTGTATATTCTAACACGGAGCTCAGTGAATACGCGCAGAACTTTCGTTGCGACCTGGAGGTGCTCCTCGGTTGCGCGCAGTTGACAAAAATCGCAGCGGTTGTTTTTTTAAGGCGGTTGACCGCGTCATATCTGAACGAGCCTTTACCGGGCAGATTTGATCCCATCCGACACCCTCACCCATTAAAAGCGATTTCAAAGAAAAAATAGACTACGTAGGAAACACTTTTGAAGCCCCGGTATGGGAGGGGCGGAGTGGCCAGCCGCTATGCTGCAAACCATATTTCTACACAGTCACACACATGTGTTTATTTTCAAAAAAAGTTTAAATAAATAAGTCAATACATTTTCTTTTGGAAATTGTTGAAATATTTCAAACATTTCGATCCTCTACTTCTTCTCCGTTTTTGTTGTTGGTTAGACTGTATTACTAGATGATTAATGGTAACGTGTACAACTGATGCCACAGTGTTTACTTTTACTGATTTATCTAAATATATATTTGTTTCATTATTCTACTGTAATGTTCAAGAAAGTTTTGGATAACTCTCGTGAATAATTTTTTGTCTCTGCAGGTCGCAAGCAATACTACCTACGAGGCCCAGTACTGTAGCTGTACCCATCTGACGTCATTTGCCAGTACATGGATCGTCCCGCCTACCCCTCTCGACTTCAATTACATCTTCGCCAATGCCGGGTTCGCACAGAACCTCACCATCTACATCACCACCATCGTCATCTACGTGGTCTTCATCTTCATCTTGCTATGGGCACGACGTCGAGATCGTAAAGACCTCTTAAAGGTAGGAATGACTATATTGCCAGGGAGGGATAATATACTAGTAATTATAATGATGGTAGTAGTAATAGTGAATTACTATCTCAACTAGTATTAACATTCAGTATTATGATAATAACATGATAATGATAATGATGCTGATAATGATAGTATTGATAATGATGAATACTGATGGTAATAATAATAGTGGTAATAATGATAATGATAATAATAAACATAACAAAATAATATAAATAAAAATGATAATAATAACAATGGTAATGATAAAAATAAAAATAAAAATAATGATTACATTATTATTACCTATAATAATAACAATAATAATAACAACAGTAATAAAAGTATTATATGTTGTTTACCCAGAGTAGCCTCATCAGTGATTAACACTCTATAGTACTATTCTCTCTGGCGGCCATGCTTTCATTCTCAGATTTAACATGACTGCCGTGATAATGCGCATTTTTTTGAGGATTCTTAAGGTTTATTACAAGCATTTTTTCCCTTACTTTTTAAATAGTTTATCGCAGTTTCTATTTCACAGAACGACGAATATATATTAATGAAGAGCTTCCAACGTTATTTGTATACCACTGTTTGTCTCAAAATCCCCCATTTTAATGTTATATTGTAATATCTTCGGAGTATAAGAAGTGTAGGGTCTACATCGTGGAGATAAATCAATGATATACGGGCCATGCACAAATCAAGAGTGTAATAGCATTTCAAATTACCGTCAAATTCACTATTTTCTTTACACATGCGTACTAGCTTTTATCACACTGTTGTCGATAAGTTAAAAAATAAAAAATAAACGATGGTGACCATATGATTTATTATTCATAAGTAAAGACTATATCTTCCAAAAACGTTATGGATCATTTTAAAGCGTCACAGAGATTGATAAGTTAATGTTCTCAGAAGATAAAGAAATATCCATAAAAATAAACCATGTTGTCAAAATCATTTCATAAAGAGAGAAGGTTTCAATATTCATGCCACCTCTATGGTAACAGTATACTATCATATTGAGCCTGTGTTTTTTGTGTCGATTTCGTAGAGTCCGGCTTTAAATGTTGGGTACATCCTCTGAAATTATAAAAATTACCGAGACTTACTGAGAGAGTATGACATATTCCACTACATTGTGCAATGATGTTTAAGGATTTTCGGTTTTGATTACTGAAATATATAATTCGTTTATAATTCCAGCTTGGAGTCACGCCGTTGGTGGACAACAACCCGGCTCATAACTATTATTATGAGATAGTTGTGATGACAGGACAGAGGAAGGCCGGTGGAACCGACTCCAAAGTAAGCACATTTTATTACATAAGGATGATTTACAGATAACATAAAAAATTGATGTGTTAGTATATATCTTACTGCTGTAATAGATTATCCATTGAACTCCACGTTACGTCATTCAGTGAAATTTTCCCTTTTAGAACAGCATTTTGAAGGGCTACAAATGATATCTTCATTTTAATACTATTGTATTTTGTGCAGTATCCTTGTGTCATTACTTATGTAAATTGCGCTCAATTCAGCCAAAAGGCTGCCATGTACAATGGTGTTTTTTATACCACAATAAACAAATGAATAAATAATATTGCAGAGCCCATATTCCAAATATAATATGTCTCTTAAATAAACGATCTATGTTGAACAGATAACAAAATGATAACTTTAAACGATTTTTTTTAATGATTTTTAACATCTTTTAAATGTTGCTAATCGAAAGTAAAGACTTTGTAGAAATCAAATTAGGGTAATTTGCATATCGTATTGTATTGCCCATTCAAATCATGTTCGTATTATGTAAATATTTCATTGTCTAGTTCGCATATTTCAATAGGTGATGCACAAGGCTAATGAAATTGAGTCTCGGTACTTTTTCAAACAGTTTTGCGATCGTGTTAGAGGAATAATGGAATTAAATAAAAGGATGATGATATAATAATTAAAATTAATTTGTCCATTTATATTGCGCATCTACTATACAAATACACTCTACTGAGCCTCATACAAAGTATCATATTCTTACCCAGCTGTATCTGAGCCTACATGATAAGGTGCTAAAGCGTTCAAAGAATTTCTTCCTACCGAGTACCCATTAATTTCGCCTGGATATAGAGTGACAAATGTAGATTAATGTCTTGCCAAACGACATTTTTGTCGCAGCAGGAATCGAACCGCGAACCATGTGATTCACATTCTGGTGACATATCCACTAGACCACGACACCTGTACATTATTTTATTCAGATAAGGCGGTGTTACACAAAGGCCAACAATCCGGATTTAGTTATCCGGATTTTAGTTATCCTCTTAATTGCTGTCTGTCACCAATTATCCCATTAAAATCCTCTAACGAAGCAAGAAAATTCTCCCTTGAAAGGATTTTTCAAGGGATTTTTAAAGTGATTTTTCTGTGTTACACCGCCTATAGTCTGTTGTTTTGTTTTGTTTTGTGTCTTCTAAAGGTAAGTTTCATCATGTCTGGTGAGAATGAGGAAACGTCTGTACGAGACTTTGAGGATGACAAGAGAAAGATCTTCCGAAGAGGTGCCTCTGATCGATTCCTCATGGCTGTACCAGGGTAAAAACCGCTACCCCATAGTGTCTTTAAGTTCTTAAACTCTCCTATTAATTGATGAGGGAATAATGATTCGTTGTTGCAAATTAATATTTAGGGCCCGTTTGATAAAGAGTTGCGAATTGATCAAACCAGTCGCAAGTCCTCCAATCAATCGCAAGTTTGCGCTCTCCTATCTCTTTTATACATAGTTGCGATTGATATCAATCAAAAATAAGTTGTGACTGAGGTGAACTCTTTATAAGACGGGGCGCTATTGATTTACTTAGCTTCACATGGCGCACTGCAAAGGCAACCATATAGTCAATCACTCGATACTAAGTGAATGTTACAGGCGTTAGAATAATTCTAATGTTTCATTTCTGTCTGATTAGACAGATTTGCTGTCAAATGAATAGGACCGATTACCTACTGTCGCTGCGACAGCGTATTTTGTGGTAGCGATGCTACATATTACCCGATCCTCGCAGAATCCAGCAACTGCCCAAGTCAACAACTCTGTATACCCCTTGTCTTCTGATCAAAGAATTATGCAGTAGCCAAATGCTCTTGAAAAAAAAAACCCGAAGTGCTAGTAATGTGAACTTTCAAGATGCTTAGTTGCGTTAGCATTTGAATCAGACGTGCTGCACACTTAATATACCAGGAAAAAACAAGAAGTTCTGTAATGGGGCAATTATCGATTATGAGAAAAATTAAGAATAATAATAAAAATATCAAGAATAAGATATACATGGATCTTCCTTCTATTAATGATAGACCGTTGGGAACGCTGAACTACATGAGAATCTGGCACGACAACTCTGGTAAAGGCAAGATGCAAGGCTGGTACGTCAAATACATCGCCATCAGAGACATCCAGACAAGGGAGAGGTTCTATTTCATCGTCAACCAATGGTTCTCAGTGGTGGAGGACGACGGACAGGTAGGAATCATGATGGTCATGATGTAAACAAAAATCAATCTTCGTTGTAATTTTCGAGACTTTTATTCAAATATATCGGCAATGGATGCATATTAGCAAAGACCCACATAAGAAAAACATCAATTACCAGGTAAACATTCTTTGCAGCATGAGAAAGAAACTTAAATTATTCCTCTTTTCGTTATTTTGTAGGCAAAATATTATATAATTTCATCTAAATATTTGAATAGATATTTGAAGGGATCTTTATCATTTTGAAGTTGAACAAGCAATCCATGTGATCCTAGCAGTAATTATGCCTCCGCCACCGAAGGTGGTGCCGGAGGCATCATGTTTTCGGGTTGTCCGTCCGTACGTCCGTCCGTACGTCCGTCCCGTTTGACCGTTATCACAATATCTCAAGAACCATTTAAGATTTAAACTTAAGACTCGGGAATAGTATTTATCACCATAGGAAGACGATCTGATTAGATTTTGGAGTACGTAGGTCAAAGGTCACAGGTCACAGAGGTCAACTTATGAAATTCCTTGTATTGAGTTTGTTAGCGCGATATCTCAAGAACCATTTGAGATTTAAACTTCAAACTTAAGGATAGTATGTATCACCATAGGAAGACGATCTGATTAGATTTTGGAGCACGTATGTCAAAGGTCAAGGGTCACAGAGGTCAACTTATGAAATTCCATACATTGAGATTGTTATCATGATATCTCAAGAACCACTGGAGATTTAAACTTCAAACTTGGTGATAGTGTGTATCACTATAGGAAAACAATCTGATTACATTTTGGAGCACGTAGGTCAAAGGTCAAGGGTCATAGAGGTCAACTTATGAAATTCCATACATTGAGATTGTTATCATATCTCAAGAACCACTGGAGATGTAAAAACTTCAAACTTAAGGATAGTATGTATCACCATAGGAAGACGATCTGATTAGATTTTAGAGCACGTAGGTCAAAGGTCAAGGGTTACAGAGGTCAACTTATGAAATTCCATACATTGAGATTGTTATCATAATATCTCAAGAACCACTGGAGATTTAAACTTCAAACTTAATGATAGTGTGTATCACCATAAGAAGACAATCTGATTAGATTTTGGAGCACGTAGATCAAAGGTCAAAGGCCACAGCGCACATTATGAATGCAAAAACAGCTTGTGATCGCGTTATCTCAAGAACCGATTGATGGATTCATGCCAAAATTAGGTCATGTTTGTTACTTGCAGAGCCAATGAACTGAGTAGATTCTTGGTTCATAAGGTCAAAGGTCAAAGGTCATGGGCCCATTATGTATGCAAAAATAGCTTGTGAACGCATTCTCATTAGAACTGACAGATGGATTACTATTTAACTCAGAACATCTTGCAGAGCCAATGAACTGAGTAGATTTTATGGTCATGAGGTCAAAGATCAAAGGGTCATATATGTATATGAGAAATTGCTTGTAATCACAATATTCTGAGAACCTGTCAATGGATTACCATTGAACGTGAATTCAATTTTTTTTTTCTGTTTTGGTTTGTAAAATTGCTCTATAACGGAGGCATCATTTTCGACTGCGCGCAGTCGAATTCCATCTAGTTTTTCTAATGATATACGTTGCGTGATAACATGATATATATTTTTTCTGATGTATCTCGGTATATATCTGGAACCAAACATGATCAACGAGTAAACAATTAAAGTTTTCCTCCTGTAACATACAGATCGACCGACTGATCCCAGTGGCCGGACGCGAGCAGATGCAGAATTTCTCCCACCTGTTCAGTAACCATACCCGCAAGAACTTCAACGATGGCCACCTGTGGTTCTCCATCATAGGGCGCCCTCCTGGCAGTCGCTTCACCAGGGTGCAGAGGGCTGCATGTTGCCTTATGTTCCTTTGGTTGGAGATGCTGGTTAACATCATGTTTTACCAGGTCGCCCCACCGGCAGCTGCTAAAAGCCCCATTGAAATTGGACCATTGAGTCTCTCGCCCGCTCAGGTAACACGCCCTTCCCTTTTTTTTTTACTTACACATTGGTGGTGGTGGTGGTTGTGGTGGTGGAGGTGTTGCTGTAGGTAGTAATGGTGATGGTGTTAATGTTTCTTGTAGAGCTGATAAACGTTGTTGTTGATGGTGTTGGTGGTCAATGATATTCGTGATGATGGTGATAGTGATGGTGATGATCATGAGCGATGGTAGAGTCGGTAGGGGTGGTGGTGGTGGTGGTGGTGGTGATGATGGTGGTGATAATTGTATTGGTAATCATTGTGGGTGATAGTGGTGGTGATAGTGGTGGTGATAGTGGTGGTGGTCATGGCAGCTGTGGTTATGAATGGATGATGTTAGGTATGGTGGTGGTGGTGGTGGTGGTACACGATACAAAGCAGACAGATAATGACATCTTTCCACCGTTATCTCAACAGATCAGCATTGGTGTCCAGGCCAATCTCATAGTTTTTCCGGTATCACTTCTGGTTGTACAATTCTTCCGGAAGTCCCGGCCGAGGAATATGAGACAGTCCCGCATCAAGGTAGCGGCGCTGGCCAACAAACCCAAACGAAAACTAAGGCGTAGACCTCGTAAGACGGCACCCGCTAATTACTCCAAACTGGAAGACTTTGTAAGTGAGAGATCGTGTTGAACAGTCATCATCTCCTGAAATGAAACTCTTATGAAAGAAATAAAGATAATAAAAGAACTAAATTACAATTCAGATGATTATTAAATTAAATAATTGTATAACCTCTTTCATTTTTGTTTCCCTAATGATGTCTATGGGAGAGAGGGGAAAGAGGGACAGGGAGACGCTGAAAACGAGAGGGAAAGAGAGCTGCGGTCAGGTATAAAAAATATATAGAGGAGGATTTGGGGAAAATAATAGAATATTGTACCATGTAGAAAAAAATGATGGTTACCATATTCTCTTCTCTTTGCACACTTAAATAGCATTCTCAGGTTATGCTGTTCAGTTGTTTCAGTTATTCATTGCCGTAATGCAATTCTTAATCATGCTTATCCTTCACATTTCCCTCTCCTAATTCAACCTGCCAGGCATCACCGAGTAGGATCGTCCTTGAGGAGGGCAATAAGCCCCCATGGTGCAATTCTTAATCATGCTTATCCTGCACATTTCCCTCTCCTAATTCAACCTGCCAGGCATCACCGAGTAGGATCGTCCTTGAGGAGGGCAATAAGCCCCCATGGTGCAATTCTTAATCATGCTTATCCTTCACATTTCCCTCTCCTAATTCAACCTGCCAGGCATCACCGAGTAGGATCGTCCTTGAGGAGGGTAAAGCCCCCATGGTGCAATTCTTAATCATGCTTATCCTTCACATTTCCCTCTCCTAATTCAACCTGCCAGGCATCACCGAGTAGGATCGTCCTTGAGGAGGGCAATAAGCCCCCATGGTGCAATTCTTAATCATGCTTATCCTTCACATTTCCCTCTTCTAATTCAACCTCCCTGCAGGCATCACCGAGTCGGATCGTCCTTGAGGAGAGCAATAAGCCCCCGATGATGATTAACCCGACGGCAGGTACGAGGGCCGAACCGAGCCTCGTTGTCCCTCCCGTCCCTGGCACCTACGACGAGACAGCGGTCCAAGGGGGTCAAGGGGCCGGCTACTTGGGCGGAGAAACATCACCTACTCCGCAAGGAGATGCGACAGTAAGTATCCATTTCCGCTATGTTCGTGTTCGAGCTTTTAAGTTTCCATTTGAAAACGAATATGGACAAGCAAATAGCTGTGATGAAGCGATTACATTCAATAAAGCTGATTGGACATACGATGTACAGATTTACGATTTAAAAAATACCTTTAAGGACTAACCTTTTAGCTCACGAAACTTCAAATCGGCACCAAAAATGTCCACAGCAAACTAACATTTCTCCCGTGAAAAACAACCCAAAAATCTAATCGCCGAATGCATATCCCCGCGAGGTCGTGATCCAAACGTTCTGAAAATCATTTCTTGAGAATAAATGCATACAAATGTCCACAGCAAAACTTTTTTCTATGTGAAATCCAAAGACAAGTAGATATGACGCCGAATGTTACCACTTTTTTTGTTAATAGGTCCTGATCCAACCGGACAAACCAAAGCGACGCAAGAAGTTCTCCTTCCCATGGTGGTGTGTCATTGTAGCATGGATTGTCTTGCTCTTATCCATGGCGGCTGCTACCACCATTACCATTTTCTACGGCATCCAGTTTGGCAACACGGAAACCAGCGAATGGCTTTGTTCCATTATCATTTCATTTGTTTTCGGAATCTTCCTCACGCAGCCCATCAAGGTATGTTTTTGTTAGGTCGTGGTCGAGTGGTTTGAACTAAGTTTAGTTTGAACACTAGACTGGATATGCAAAGACCGTGGGTTCAATGCATGGCGTTAATCGAAATTTGCCACTCCATACCCTGGATAGATATGGGGACCAGATAGAAAGACGAAAGTCTTTGAGGGTGACCATATTGCAGGATTACTCCGCAGGGAGTGGAGATAGTGCATACTGTGTGCGTGAATGAATCCGATGACCGGGGATAATAATGATAATAATATCTGAAAAGTGTTTAAAGACGGTATGGTGTATTAAGCACTATTTTAATCCAGATTTATTATTATTATCCTTGTAGTAATGATTCTAGTGATAATTTGTGGATACGGCTTTTTATCGTCAATGATACCGACTTAGCGGTTCAACTAGGGTTTTTGTTAAATTACGCATTGGGTTCGGTGTTTGCAATGGTGAAGATTCGTGATGGGACACGGAGTTTAGCCGCGTGCAAGAATTGTACACACATTATTAATTGGCGATTCCTACAATTCCAATGTATGCGATACAATATACAATGAAACTGCAGAGTGCATGTCTTTGAATCATTTTTTTCTTGGTGCCCATTTGCTACACAGATCCTGCTGCTCGCGACCTTCATCGCCTGTATCGTCAAGAGCCCTAACGCTGACGAGGACACCGAGATGGAAGAGGACGAAGAAGAGTTTGATCTTGGAAATGATGAGGAATACCTCCACACGGTCTCCGGTAATAATCCTCTCATTGATTTGATCAACGCGGTGGTTGATATTGCATATTGGTCCAGTGCTTATTTGTCCTATCGTCAATTCGTCTCATCACATTTTATTCATTATTTCTTTTACCTTTGTCCTCACGCTCCTCGTTCAATTGCCAGTTCGTCTAACGCCTGACGGGATTGGATAAGCTAGATTAGGCAATGGGCCAAATAGCAAGAAACCTACTCGTATAGAGGTTTTTAAGCGACATTTCGGGATGTTCCCATCTTTCCAATAAATCCCTTGTCCCTTATGCCATGTCATATACAATGCAATGTAATGCAATGTATGATACCACACTGTGGTTGTTTTGTGTATACATATCCTAATATCATAATCACACAAACATTAGTAAACATTTTTTTCCCAACGAGGTCGTCCATTGAAGAGAGAAAAAGCCGAACACATAAACATAAATATATAGACTTGGAGTTGCTACCAAATGCACGTGACTGAGTACTTGAAAGATTTGTGTTGATGTAGACCTCCAAGTTCCCGTAAAGTATACCATTGTACATACTAGGAATGTAATTGCAAGAGGTTTATCCTTATCAAATGGTAAATTGGCAATAATAATGATGTTCGATAATCTCTTATCTCCCAATAAAAACGTATTAACCCCGTCTTTCCTTTTCTCCCCGTCTCCCCCGCTCTCTATTTCTCTCTCACCTATTATCTTCCTCTCTTCCAAATACGCCCTGTCCCCCATACCTCAAATTACCTCAGGTTCCGTGTCGACGAAGAAGCGCAAGCTGCCATACAAGCCGCCTGATCCAGAGGCACTGGAGCGAGCCAGAGAACAACGTGTCAAGGAGATCAAGATGTACTCCATCTTCCGAGAGATCTTCTTCTACGTGGTCTACCTTTGGGTGGTCCTCGTCATCAGCTATGGAAACTCCGACCCTTCGGCTTACCGCATGCAGGAGGACTTCTTCAACGAGCTTGTGATCGGCCCCGACAGTGTGCATTCCTTCAACAAGGCAAGTTGCATGGCTTCTCTTTTTTTATCTTTCAAAATGGAATTAATTATGAGGTGATAGTGATAGATGCTCGTCGTTTCCTTTAGATTGAAGTTGTAAATTATCAGCCCCAACTTCCTCCTGTTATTCCACACGCTATGTCAGGCGTAAACCTTTAATATAGAGATTACTTTCTTCAGACATATATATTTTGCAATTTTCCACGGTGATGGCAAGGTATTTTTTCACAGTTTGTTGAAGACTCACACTAATGAAGTTTTTTCCTCACATTATTTCATTACTTTATATTGATGGCATGTTCTCTTCCCTCTGTTTCTTCCACATTGACTGTGTGAACGTCAATTTATTTCTTTTCTTTTTCACCGAAAGTGCTAACTTGAAGTGCTCTTGTTCTTAAAGTAAGGGTATTCACTTATCGTTCTGTCGTATGCATCTTCAGATTCAGATTTCCAGAATTGTGCTACTTCCTAGTTTACATTTGATGATTCTTACTTTATATTGCTTAAAATAAAGCTTGTACTATAATTCCTCATAGTTATTTGGCCTCGATTTCCTTGCTTTTCTTTCCGACGGGAAACAGATCAACAGCCACGCATCCTACTGGGCTTACCTTCACTCTACCCTCGTTCCTGCGATCTATCCTCAGACTTGGTACAATGGCGATCCTAGTCCCGAGCTGGATGGCTTTCTCAAAAACCAGAATGCTTTCATCCTCGGATATCCTGTACTACGACAAGCCCGCGTCAAAATGGGTAAGTACAGACACTGGCGTTTGTTTTTTTAATATTCCCCTCTTTTTTTTTTTTGGGGGGGGGGGGGGGGGGAGGTTGGTACAACAGCACCACCTGTACTAAGACCAAAGTCTTAAGTGAATGAAAGGAGAACGTGTCGCACCTCACCCCCACCCCCAGCTTGGATGTGGCCCTGATGATGAGAAGGAATCATTGAGTCCTCTCCTTGTTTATTACGTTCTGTCCAAAGTACCGGTGGCGCAGTATGGATCCATCCTTTGTGGGGGCACGAGTCTTTATACTTATAAGGATAAAATGCACGAGAACAAGGCTAGACTCATGGGATGGAATTATATTATTTTCGTGCGTTGTATTCTCCTCCCTTTCGTTGAGTTCTTGTTAAAGACCGCAAATACCTTCAAAGCTCCTGGATATTGCTCTTATTCTTAGTTATGACACCTTTAGTAACCTTTTAGAGCCTTTAAATCTGATCGTACCAATTCAGCTCCACTTTTAAAAAAATACGGTGACCATTAATTCATTAATAATAACAATACATGGTCTGGCTAGTTGTGCGTATTATAACCAACACGAAAAAGCCAACAAAAAGCCAACAAAAGGCCAACATTGGCATTGGCTGGAATCAAAGGTATAAAGCGTTATCTCGTTTTTTTCAAGGGCTTGTTCAAAATATCGAATATTTTTGGGGCCCTACAAATATCAGAAATTGTTATATTTATGACTATTTCAGCCGTCTCTGAACCGATTTTGATCAAACAAAGATGATTTGTCATATAAATTGTATGCTCTTTCAAATTATTTTACAACAAATTATTTTCTTTTGCGCCCTCTATACCAAAACTCAACTATCACTTTATAGTGCCTTGCTTTATGTGTCTTTAAAATAAGTATGTCAAAAACCATGACGAAATAATGAAAAACAGAATGATTTTAATTACCAAAGTGGTCAAGGTCAACTTTTTTTTTTATATGACCCATCTTATACTATAAAAATGACCTGTTTCTTATGCTAATCTTTTATATTTTGTATGATTTATATAAATTGTTTATACTTTTCAAACTTTTTCACGCCTCAGGTGAATGCGAAGTGGTGTCCCAATTCACAAACATTGTCCCCGAATGTAACGTTGCCTACTCGTTTGGCAACTCAGACGAGGGTGATTATGGACCTGGGTGGACACTCTACAATACAAACGTGACAGACAGACCTCAATACAACTTCACAGCTTGGGATGAAATAGAGAGTTATCCAGTCCTCGGACGCCAAGCCGTCTACGCTGGTGGCGGATATCTTGCCAAGCTACAAGGGAGCAAGGTCGAAGTCGAAGCTCTCCTGGATCAACTATTCGAAGAGGCCTGGTTCGATAGGTACACCCGAGGAGTCTTTTTGGAGATCGCTTTTTTCAACGCGCAGGTGAATCTCTTTGGGGTCATCGACCTCGTGGCGGAGTTCCTTCCAACTGGTGGAGTTGAAACCTTCTACCGGATCGACATCATTCGGCTGTTCACCTACTCTAACGGTTTCGGCGCCGTCCGTCTCGCGTGTGAGATCCTCTTCCTTGGTTTCATCGTGTTCTTCATCGTTCGTGAAATCAACAACATGAGACGGACAGGGGTGAAGAAGTACTTCAAAGACTTCTGGAACATGGCCGAATGGATCATCATCGCGTGTGCCATTGGAGCCACAGTGGTCTACTTCTATCGCAAGTATGTCACAGACAACCTCCTCGAGGAATTCAAGGCAGCGGGTGGCACACAGAGGATCAACCTCCAGTATGTCGCCTACTGGAACGAGCTGCTCACTTACTTGCTAGGTGTGGTAGTCTTCATCGGCACCCTGAAGTTCATTAAGCTTCTCCGATTCAACAAACGCATCGGTATATTGTCCACCACGATTGGAAGCTGTACCAAGGACTTGTTCCACTTTGGTATCATGTTCGGCATCTTTTTCCTTGCCTACGCGCTGGCCTTCTACAAGATGTACGCCCGCAGTCTCTACGATTTTTCTGACTTCATCTTCACCTTGGAAACGCTGTCGGCGGCCATGTTGGGCAAGTTCAGCTACGACGGCTTTGTGCAAAACAATCGGATCCTCGGGCCCATCTTCTTCTTCTTCTTCATGATCACCATCACGTTCATCCTTGTCAACATGTTCCTGACCATCGTCATCGAAGCCTTCTCTTCGGTCAAGCGGGACATCACCCGCCAATCCAACGACTATGAGATGGTCGACTTCATGATCGGGCAACTCAAGAAGTGGGTGGGCTTGAATAACAAGCCCAAGTCGGAGGAAAAGAAGCCCAACGCTGTGACCGAGAAGGACAACCACGACCCGATGTCGGAGTTCCCTGAGAAGGTCGACCAACTACTCGACTGTATCGCCAAGGTCTACTTCGATGCCTCCCAGTTTGAGGAAGTCATCCGTGGGATGGGAGGGTCGAAGGGAGACAATCCCAAGACCACCAAGAAACGGATGATCCTGACGGGATAATTCTCAAACACAACCACCATAAGCATCACTCCCAAGTGCAATATGCTTTAATACTCCCATCATAATCCTACTGTAATGTCAATAATGAAATTCACAACCATCCATGATCATAAATCATACTTCATAATGAATCCGGAGCTAAAGGATAAATAATTTCTCCTTAGTTTCCATATGGTATTTTGATATCCCACTATATATCGAATAAATGAACATGGTGAATTAACACAATAAGCAATTGAAAGAAAAAACAATATCTTCATGATACCGTCTACTACTACACAATACACGAAATCAAAATATAACATGCATATTTCACAGAAATTCGATGTAAATAGCATTTTTGGTATTGAAATTCTACTCAAGCTTCTACTAAAATCGTTACTAGGAATGCTGTAGCTTGCCTAGGGCTCTCTCGGTATTTCAACAGGTTCTAGGACAATTACCCCCTGGGCAATCACCCCCCGGAAATTTACCCCCCGGAAAACTACCCCCGAAGGACAATTACCCCCCGGAAAATTACCCCCCGGAGAATAACCCCCCGAGGACAACTACCCCCCAAGGACAATAACCCCCCGGAAAATTACCCCCCGGAGTATTACCCCCCGAGGACAACTACCCCCCGAGGACAATTACCCCCCGGAAAATTACCCCCCCCCGGACAACTACCCCCCGGAGTATTACCCCCCGAGGACAACTACCCCCCGAGGACAACTACCCCCGAGGACAATTACCCCCCCCCCCCGAGGACAACTACCCCCGAGGACAATTACCCCCCGAGGACAACTACCCCCCGTGGACAATCAGGATTCAATAGCAAAAGACGATCTGATACATTGAGAGATGGCTACGAGCCTATAAGACCCCTTCATGAACCCATATTCGCTCAAATACTAGCACGTTGTCTTCCTCGTTACTAAACATTTCCCTTTAATACATATACACTGTCGCTCATAAAGGTGGAATATTTTGTTTTTATACCAATTTATGGAATTATTTTAAAAATTATTTAAAAATAATAGATCTAGATAATAGTATACATTCTCAGATTTTATTGATCAATAATTTGCCAATGTGTGCTTTGCGTGACTGCTAAAGCATATGTATGCTACTATGCTTATTAACTAGGGGACCTATGCCCTTAAGTCATAAATGACAGTAATGAGGATTAATGCCCCGCAAAAGGGCACTAATATAGCACATCGACACGGTTTTGATCCTGGGGCCTCACAGTTACGAGGCCATTGCTTTGTCACTGAACCATGACTGTACGCAGCGGGGGCTAGGGTAGGGGGCAGTTTCCATAAATAAAATAAAACACAGAAAATGCAATAAATTTTCAATAATTTATTGTATTTTACCCCGGTTCCCAACATAAACAAATCTTCTGTGTGCCCATGCCTTGAGCCATAATGCATAGCCGTCCAGAGAATTTTTTTATGTTGGGGACCGGGATATATCCCCCCCCCCAAATATTTTAGGTTGGGGGGGGGGTGGCCTGTCCAATCATCCCCCCCAACAATTCACCATCAAAAAAAAAATGAAGAGAAACATTAATGATGAGAGCCCGATGAGAGTAGTTAATGGTTATTACTCGCAAGATGACCATCAATATACACATTTTGCTATCTCATTTTCATAATACATAAATGAGACATCCGTATATGAGACAAGAATAAATTGAATTCTCGCTCATACGGCTTCATCAGGAATTGATCAATTTATTCAGTCAACAGCATCATAGAAATGCAGTGCGCCAAATGCAAAGCCGCAGCGTTAAAAAGCAACGAGCTAAATATCAAGCGCAAAGCGCAAAAGTGCAAAAAAGAAGTAGAGAGTGGGAGAGAGAGATAATGAGAGACAGAAAGGATACAGGCGCGTATACAGGCGCGCGTAAAAAACGCAGGCCAAACAAAAAGAGAGAGAGAGAAAGAAAAAAGGAAGAGGACGTAGGAAGAAAAAAGATTAAGAGTCAAGAACGGTACAACGAATCGTCATCTTTCTCTTATAATGTGATGAAACGTCGAAGTTTCGCGCGGGAGGGGGGGGGAACTAAATTCAGACAAGGATTAAGAGTCGAGAATGGTACAACGAATCGTCTTCTTTCTTTAGTAACTTAATGAAACGTCAAAGCTTTCGCGCTTCGCGCGGGAGGGGGGGGGGGGAACTGAAATCAGACAAGGATTAAGAGTCGAGAATGGTACAACGAATCGTCTTCTTTCTTTATCAATTTAATGAAATGTCAGAGCTTCCGCGCTACGCGCGAAGGAAGGGGAACTTTATTCAAACAAGGATTAAGAGTCGAAAACGGTACAACGAATCGTCTTCTTTCTCTAATAATTTAATTAAAGGTCAAAAGAAATTGAATTTAGACAAGGATTAAGAGTCGAGAACGGTACAACGAATCGTCTTCTTTTTCTAATAATTAAATGAAACATCAAAGCTTCCGCGCTTCGCGTGGGACGGGGAAAAACCCCCTCCCTGCAGCCACCCCCTTTAGGGAGCGTGATTCGCGTGCTCACTACCGCCCCCCTAAAATAAAATCCTTGCTACGCGCTTGAGAGGATAATAACCCAAGTTGCAAGCCCACATGGGTCCCATATTCTCTGAAATGTTATCTTTATTGAGGGTGACTTGAAAAAATTAATAACTTGTAAGGGAGGGGGTGCAACCTGCCACACATTTCTACCTCTTGGTTGCTTTGATCCATTGCCGAAATTATTTTGGCACCTATCACCCCCCCCCCCCCCCCCAACCACGGATAAAAATCGACACCGTTGTGACCAACAATGACGGTCGCATACTACCGGGTACCCATTTAACACCTGGGTGGAGAGTAGCAAGTGCAGGTTAATATCTTGAAAAAGGATATTAGTGCCGGTGTCGTGATTCGAACCCTCGACCTGCGCATATCATACTCCCGCATGACAACATAATTATATAGATAACGTGAAGAAAACCTTAATTTCGGATCATGGTCGAGGGCCCATTATACAAAGACAAATACACGATCAGCTTAAAAAGTGACAGAGGATGCATAAATGAAATATTACATCCTAATTTATTTGTTTTGCCATTGTTGGTGAGAGAGGCTGTAAGGCGTACTCATCTGCGCGCAATGTATTATTGAATTTCTTTAAAAAATGTAATTTCTGTTATTTACTCGGTAGCAAAACTTCGAGGGAATTGGGCAACTCCCACCCCTCCCCCTCCCACACTGAAATGAACTTCACAAATAACATAGAAATTGAAAGTTTATGAAATTTTCTATAAAGAGCAATTTGGAGAGAAGCTCGCATTATTTGTCACAGTGTTAGAAATTCCTCGGGGGTGATTGTCATCGGGGATAGTTGTCCTCGGAAGAGGGGGGTAGTTGTACTTGGGGGGAATTGTTCTCGGGGGGTAATTGTTCTCGGGGGTAGTTGTCCTCGGGGGGTAATTGTCCTCGGGGGTAGTTGTCCTCGGGGGGTAATTGTCCTCGGGGGGTAATTGTCCTCGGGGGTAGTTGTCCTCGGGGGGTAATTGTCCTCGGGGGGTAGTTGTCCTCGGGGGTAATTTTCCGGGGGGTAATTGTCCTTGGGGGGTAATTGTCCTCGGGGGGTAATTCTCCGGGGGGTAATTTTCTGGGGGGTAATTGTCCTTGGGGGGTAATTGTCCTCGGGGGGTAATTCTCCGGGGGGTAATTTTCTGGGGGGTAATTGTCCGTGGGGGGTAGTTTTCCGGGTGGTAATTTTCCGGGGGGTGATTGCCCAGGGGGTAATTGTCCTGATACGATTTCAACAACCAATATATGTAACCTGAATTCTGGCATCACTTTTTTATTCGATTAAATATTTGCTACAAGGGTGAATACATGTTACCCGTGTAACACAGTTTCAAAAGCCCTTAAGTCAAATTACTTCTGTTCAAACTTGTATAATGTTCTGAAGCCGATAATATAAAAGCCCTCTTCGTTAAATGTGTTCATACTTTCTTACCGCCATGACGCTTGAGTGTTAAATTAAAAGTTTCGAAATCTACTATGAATTTCCCTCACTCATAAAGCATTTGAATGTCAAACCATTTACATATACATGATTAAGTCTACACAAGGATACACATAAATGAATGGATTGTCTCGCTGTTTTCACGAAGTGACGGTAGTGAACAAAAATTGCATTCACTTTGCGTTACGATTTTCCTCACTACCGTCACTTCGTGAAAACAAGGACGTACTGTGTCTATCACTGTAGAAATAATGACCGGATTCGAGATGTTTAGAAAAAAATCAACTCACGTTTTCGATGAGAAGAACATTGTGCACAAACTGAATAAAAAATATGAGTAAAAAGTATATTGATAAGTCTCCCGTCCTTTGTACATAGTGGCACACAGTGTGCGATGCCCGTGATTAATGCCATCCACATGTACAAATAGTATCATTTGAAAGGGTGATTTGATATAGATTTAGATTAACTTGGCTGTGAAACATGTATAATTGAGTGAAGTTTATTGTTAACGTGATAAGGTCAATAGTTTATTCTTAACTGCTAGCTTATTGTCACTTTTATCTTCAGTTCTGGTACCGACGAAATATACATTCTCACTTAACGTGCGAAATCAAAGGAAACTGACTGCCACTGAAAGTCCACTATTTAATCAATATCTGTGTGGGATATATTATGTCCATCACCGACTCCAAACTAATTTGTGATAACTGGGTACCTGGTAGGATTTTATTTCACTAAAGAAGCAAACAACAACAAAATACACCACTGCTGTTAACTGTATACGACTGTTTTGTTTTCCTTTGTATAATCATGTCCCCCTTTTTCGTGGAGGGTGTGGGGGGGGGGGGGGTCAAAATATGAAATGGAAGATGTCAATTCGAATTCAAGGAAGCACTGCATTCATGTATTATTTTCTGGCCACGTTGATAGAAGGAGACGTTACAGGTCGGTCCCTAGACGTAAATAATTATATCTGATTGATAAACGTCTGTAAAAAACCAATTGCACACAATCATATTTGTGTAAGGCTGCATTTTGGGAAACCAAGGAGTCTTCAGTTTTCGAATTGTACTTAGTAGGTTCACCCCAAACACAGTACAAGTTATAAACAACTTATTATTCACTATTTGCAATGATTTATGAGATCGTATAAACATTCATGTAATTTGTCTTTCATAGTAAGTCTTTCACGGTTTATTGCTCATGTAGAAATGTGTTTTTATCCCATTACACATGAATCACTTGTCGCTTTGTTGTAGTTTGCATTACTTGTCATAGCAACGTTAGTTTGCTTTTCAAAACGTCACAGTACGTAGGTGTTGAATAATAACCCCCAACAAAAGTTTTGATTGCGGCCTAAAACTACATTAATGATACCAGGTAAAGAAGTAAACAGGTAATAAAGAACAAAATTATGAGAACTTTTTGACATGTCGTCACGTTTCACACATTCTACGACTGCCAACTGCTCCAACTTTGCCATTCAAGTAATAATTGCATTATACCAATTCAATGAAACGGACATAAAATAGCCTAAGTCACACGTAGACGATTTGTTAAGATGCGCGCCACGATCTAATGACGTTGCTTTCTCATATTGGTATCTTTGCAAAGTATTCAGAACATCATATCGGGTGTTTGGTAAACAAACTGAACATCACATCATCTCGTTTGAAAGGATATTTCAAACTTCAAAATGTTCACCAAAAAAAAAAAAAAAAAAAGAAATTAAAAAACATGCCCTGTACCTAGCAAAGAAACACTCAAACAAGCAAGAAATTGGTGCAGGCAACAAAAAGAAGACGCTTGATTAGTTAACGGCTTGCATCGGCAATAGTATTCACTGAGTCTGTATACATACACATGTCGGTAACTCCTCGCAGCAGAAATATGAAAAAGCACTATTATCTTACATAATATTAAATATCTGAAGAAAAAATAATCATCATACGTAGCGATTTTCGTAGGTGAAACAAAAGTTTTGAGAATTTCAAAATATTTTCATACCGTGATCGCGAAACAAGGACGGTCTGTCCATTGCCAGTATTAGGAAAGCCTATCAGAATAAGAACCACTTGAAAGAAAATGTTTTTGTTTCGCCATTGGTCAAAACCTAGGACTGTCACATGGTTTAGAGTACATGACACATATACACTAAACATGTGCCAAAAGTCGACTATAGTATTTCAGTGCTTATCCCATTAATCGACCGAAGCAGAGAAAGAGTTAAAGCAACACTAACCAGATTGCATCATCAAAGCCAAATTGCAGAACAGAAAAAACAGATACAATCGCAAAAAAAAGTATAACAAATCGACAAAGTGTGACTTGGGCGCAAACAAAAACTTGGACATAATGGCTTGAATTCACAAAGGAGGTTTGTCGACAAACTGAGGTTTATGTGCGTCATACGACGCGTTTCGACGCGTTTTTTACAAACCTTGGTTTGTAAAAAAACAAAAGGAAGTTTTATTCGAAACAAAAGGAGGTTTGTGAATTCGGGCCATCTAGTGCAAATGAATTTCAAATACATTTCATTTTCTTTGCAATGCATTGGCTCTTATTTATGTAAATACATCAGCGTGCGTAGATGAATAAAGCTATTTTAGATTAGAAAAATTGAGGTGCATTTTGTCTGATTTTGTTTGGCTTTATGGATATCCTGGGAGAATGTGTTGATGTTTATGTAAACGCATGCATAAATGATATGTGAATATGTCGTACCCACGAACTATTGTTATTTACGAGCGTTTGGATAGGAACTTTACGTCTAGACTCTTTAATTTTGGTCGAGGACAGAGGATGGGAAAGCGAGAAAGAGAGAGAGAGAGAGAGATCTAAATGCAAATATTACCCCAAACAATTCATGTTTTATTTTAAATTTAATGAAGTTAGGCCCTACAACGTAAATCATACACCCAACATAAGTGTAAGCGGAAAGAGCGTGGTGTTACAGCCGTCGATTTCGACAAACTTCCACAAATTCTTGGAAACCAACATTCATTATATTCTGCTATGTTTTTATTAATATAATACTTCAAATACTACGCAAGATGAGCTTAGTTTACTGTTGCATGTACCTGCTATTGGCATGCGGCCTAGAGCATTGCATTATATCAATTGCGTGTCGTTGCAATTAATGGGCGCTCTTTTGGAACTTAAAAGTTTATCCAAGGACATCGCTTTGTGATATAAAAAAAAATGAACAAAAGTTGATAAAGGGGTGGGAGAGAGAGAGAGAGAGGGAAGAAAAGAATGAATTCCGAGGGTGTGTTACCTCTGGAGCAAACGTGTCGTGCAATCAAAGCAATACAAAGTAATACTTCTCATATTGGGTGTCCTAACTGAGCACTGAACACTACATGTACTGTTGTTGACTAACATTATTGCACAACCTTCGCTTCTTCGGACACCAGTCGAAGCGGTCAAACCAGAATATAGTTCGGACGTCTGACCGGTCGGTGTAAAGCAAGCTTCTGGAATAGGAGAGCTTTTGGATTTCGATTGAAAGCTAGCTGTGTAGATCGAGAATATAACTTTGAAGGAATTATGAAGCGAGGGGCGTGTTTGTTTGTGCTATTTACCTTGCTCTTGTTGGGCTTCAGTGACGGGGCCCCATACCAGGCACGGGATGGAGAGCTGTCTCATCGTAATCAGGTACAATGTACAGTAGTCCAATTATTTTACACCTGTTGTTTTTCTCTCTGTGTTATGAATACGATAGCAAGGACTTTCGAGAAATGAACTCGAGGGCAATTCTATTATCCTACTGTGTTGCCTTGTACATGCTCATATTCTGTCATCTTGCGGCATGCATTTCAAAAGGTAATGCTCAAGACTATTGATAATGTCTTGGGCTGATTTTACGAAAGTTTTTAGGATCGTGTTCATAATGCTTTTGCATTTGTGTGATGTTACAGTAGGCGAGGGCAATCTAAGAAAGTTCATGGGCTTTTATAAGGGGTATTCAGAATACAATATGGGTTAATCCCAAGCAATTAATTGTTACCCAATGTTTGGCACACCGTGGCATGTCAGCGAGAGTGTCACGCGGCAAATCTTATAACAATTATTTTTAGTTTGTTGAAAGTTTATAACAAGAAACCGTCTTGTGAGAAGTGTGTTGAAATGGGGAGAAAAAAAAACGAATCCCGTCAAACTTCAAAACTTGAATTCGTGTAGCATTGAGCAAGTAAGCCATCCCAAACTGTGAAGGCCTAACGCATCAAGACGGAAGGGCATAAACAAAGCAAAGAAAATCGTTATCTTCATTTGAAGAAAACGAATGAATTTGGAAGGACATTGTAATTCCGTAAAAGTTAACCACAGCCCTGTTAACAATGTTTGTATTGATAAAGTTTGCAATACTATAATGCAAGCTACTAAAAAATTATGGTTTAGTCGGGTGGTCGTTATCAGATTTGTAATCAGAATAATTATTGTGATATTTATCATGAGTATAACGTTTTGAGAAACTTGGCCTGACCAACTGCTTTGTCTGCTGTGTTTTAACTGTGTTTTACGTGCAAATGTATTGTTGAATGTAAAACATTTGACACGATTGTAAAGACTTTCGAGAAATACACTCGAGGGCGACTATTTTTTCCTCTTAAAAACCCGCCTGTTCATTATCTACATGAAATCATTTTCGGATTACGTAACATATCATTGTAATGTGCTCATATTTTTAAAAGGTGATATCCAAAACTTTTTAATTTGTTTTGCTTGATTTCTCGAAAGTCTTTGCGATCATTTTATTAACTGAACGTTATACATTGTACTACTGATGACTACTCAATCAGCAGTACCTTACCAACTATGATTCCATTTCAATTCGTCGTATTAATAAGTATCTCGTTTTAGTTTAAGCAAGGGTCAGGATTCCAATATCATGTTTTTCCTTTCTTTGCCGACAGCAAGGATATGCCAAAAAGACGGAAATGAAGTTGTCACCACTTCTTCTCAAGATGAAGCAAGAAGCTGATACTATTCTTGGCCAGCGGTCTAAAAGATCACCTTCCAGGGAGATGGTTAGAAAATAAAAATAACGTTTTTATTTCTTTCTCAATACTCCTGTGTCATCATCTGCAGCAAGCACTCATCTCTTTCAACGCAACGTGGAACATAATCATGGGGATATCGTTCAGAATCAGAGGCGGAATGGTAATAAATTGAAATTTGGTTTGGGAATTTTTATATGACCGACCCACTCAAACTATAAGATTTTGATTAACCGGTCCTCAACTTAGGATCAAGGGGAGACTGGTTATTAATTTAAATTTTGTTGGGGATTTAAACCCGACAGACCCACTAAAACTTAAAGAATGTGATCAACCGGCCCTCAGACCACAAACGGACAAGCCCACAACTGAAAATACCAAGAGTCCTTCGGGAAAAGCCCTAACCTCCCCATGGCCAGTACGCCCTTGACAAGGATATCGTCATGTCATCTACATGCATCTTCTTAGCATACTTATTTTTTTTCCCCCTTTTTTTTTGGGGGGGGGGGGTATACTCATCTGCAAATTTGATAACAACGTATGTAAAGGTTTTTAGTATTGTTCTAAAGCTGTATGATTTGTGTTGATATAATTAATTATTGATAACTTGCACGGCTGTAATCTCTTTTGCACAGTAGCCTTTTTGCACACTAGTAAGTAATCTCATTGTGTTAAGATCATGCAAAGTGATTGACCTTACTGCCAATTTGAGTGATCGACTCCCATATATCGACCGATTTGTGGCTATTCCGTGTGATGCAATGTTTATCGGTCTGTTGACGATCTAGCAACGATCTCATTAGTTTTACTGGATCATTGGCATAACTTATTCGTAGTGCATGCTAAAATAAATCACAATAATAAGCCAGGAAAGCTTGTGTGCAAGAATAACATTTAATTGGCAATCCACTAACAAAACGATTAAAATAAATGAACAGATTTATAGACAACTTGAGTCACGTGGTACATGAATACATCTAGAAGCCAGTTCCAGAAGAATAACAATATTCTCAAGATGATGACATGGTTAACGAATTCCATGAATGTTTAAGATTTATTTTTTCACTCCCAAACTTAAATTGGTGTTTAATTGGCCGTTAAATTTAATACACCTTTTTTGTATAAAATGAGTATAATGTTTCCCATAAAGTTTGAATGATTTTTTGTTAACCTCTTTTCCTTAAAAGATTGTGACAACATGATTTATTCTTCATAGATGGTTGATTTTCTACACAGAACTTTATCGAACAATCTCTATGACTTTTTAGAATGATCAATAAAGTTCTGTGAATATTGTCTATCAGAGAAAAGATCAAATTGTCATAATCATTTCATTAAAGGGGCAACACAATTTATTCAAAATGTATGGCGCCAGTGTACATGTACCAATAATCAGGATCCCCATTCGAAATTCCTTCGCATATTTTGGTCATAGTGTTGTTTGAATACACGTCTTAATGCTTCATTGCCTTCGCCCACTGATTTGAGTTTGGTATTGAGTTTGGTATTGTACAGCACATATATTCAGTTAGTTGTCTTCACATACTGCAAGGTGTCAGGTATGGTGTGTTCACACTTAAATTTAATCGCATTCTACAGGTGATCGCACCAAGATACTATGTTGATTCGATATACTTATTAAATGACCACTGGTTACTCACTATTTCGTATGGAATGGAATGATGATGACTTGATTTTATATATTATTTCATTGTTAATCTTAATAATTGTATTCACTCAACAATCAATAGCCTTTGCCATTGTCCATCATGCAAACCCTAAAAGCGTAGTCATATTACAACTCGTACCGTTACATGACATTACTGATAACTTTCTGAAACATAGAATATCACAAACTGATAGGTATTAACAGCCGGCTCTATTTTGTTACATGATTTCAAACATTGCATATATGATTAAAAATGGAGAAACAATTAAATATACAGTGTACAGTTCAATTGTTGTTTACGTTTGTATTTTAACCTGTTCTAAAACATATAACCGATAATCATAGACAAGTCAAAAGTATGTTCCCATACGTTATCAACCACTCACATATCTTATAAACCTGATGATTACGTTTATAAGCCTAACCTATCTTGGATAAAACCAAATGCCTAGATTTTTTTATTTTGAAGTTGATCATGTTCTGTATTTCCTGATAATTTGAAAATTGTCATTAAACGAATATGCTTTGACTAGTTTGTTTTACCTGACTGCTATTAAAGTAAGCATATGTATGCTTGTAATTAATCAGTTAGGGCACCGAAGGCTTTAGGTCCTCTCCGAGGGACTTTTAATGAGGATCAATTGCCTTACCCAAGGGCACTGGCACATCGACTCAGTTTTGAAGTCGGGACCTCCCGGTTACCAGACCGATGCTCTATCACTTAGCCATTGTGCTTCTAAAATTTGATACTAGGTATTCCGTACGGGGCGTAAATACCTTGGACCTGACCTAGACTGAATAGAGTAATACACATCCATACTTAACACAACCTGTTGCCATAAAAAAGCGGTTTTATATTCCTATTTCTTTGTTGTATTTCTATGCAAGCCAGACTGGCTTGGGAAGTGAACGGGTCGCTGAAATTTTCGGATCATTTGCCCTGAATGATTATTGAATTTGTTAATACCGTATCTGCAATTGTTCCCTACTCGACCAAAAAAATATTAAAAAAATAGCGAAAACATCTCAAATAGAACCCTGCCGTACAACCCTGGGAGGTATTGTGATATTTTGCTGTATGTCGAGATGTCGAGGATTTTTGCCCCTTTCAGAGAGGCTTTACTATATTTAGACTGTCATTGTGTATACTTACGATTGATTGTAAGCAGTTTATAAGAAGGCATACTTGTAGCTGCACGCGTAAATATCGTAGTACAAGTAGTAGTAGTCATTAACTGGCCTTGGATTTTTCAGCTCGCTTCTTTGAACAAGAAAAAAAAATGTATATTCTATGTTATGATGGTTATGTGCGGTTAAAAGTACGACGTCTACTGTATAATATTACAATAGTTGAATAGTTCGTGTATCCGTTTGATGATTCATGACTTGTTCATGCTTATGTTATTATACTAGATTAGAAAAAATATAATTTATATGTTAAGCATTAAATTTAAAAACAAAACAAACGAAATAAGCCTATATGTGCCTAGATATCGGGATAGAGATACATTATTATTATATTCATGGAGCATTATTTAGAAAAAAAGCAATTATGTCCCACAATTATAATTCCGGGAATGAATGGTAACAATCAATAAAGTATGACAAACGTCAACAACGTGTGCGAAATATTATGTCGTTTTCTGTATGACTTGTTATACTGTGAAAGACTCAGATTACACGCCCCTAATTATTGACTGATACAACATGCTCATTAGGCGCCATTTCAATTGCGTTGTTGCATACGCTATTCAAGCATGTTGAGGGAGTTCGCACATACGCCAGTAAATCAACTCAATGCATGTGTACACTTTTTACATTGTAATGGACAGTGTTTTATGGCATCTTGTTTTGCAATGGCAACACTTCAGAATGGACCCGTTCGTAATTAGTAAATAGTTCAAATGACCCAAAATATCCAAAGATCTTTCACAAATGGAGCAGTACCACTTTGTGCATTTTAAAATAATCACTGCGAAAGCTATGGAGGTGTTTTATTGGAACCTTTTGTTTGCCTTCTTGAAAATAATACTTCAACCTGTGTTCCACATATAGAACAAGTAGAACGTACAATTGGGTGCATAGTTTAATAGTGATTCCATAACTTTCATGAGCACGTTATCAGTATTGGTCTTGAACGGTTTTGTAATTTTGGTATAAATGACTTGTATCAACCCATGCGCAGATCCTATCTACGAACTGGCTTATTATATATCCTGTTACATAATCTGTTTGGCAATACCAATGTGATTTATCATTTGTTAGTACTGACCAAACAGAAAGTCTTAATAGACCACCAACACAAAAAAAAATATGGATAATCTATAATATGACATTTAGATGATGTAGTCTTAAATAGGGAAAAAAGAACTAGCTAAAGTAACAGGAGAGGGCGTACTATCGAAATACGAATATGCAGGAATAACTTGAGATTTGCTGACAGAGATTTTGCATGTGGGGTGTAACATCTCAATCTCCTGCCCCCCCCCCCCCCCCCCCAAAAAAAAAAAAAAATTGGGTCAGCCTGCCTGCTCCCTTCCACAATTATTATCAGATGTTCAGAGGTATATACTTTATCTAGACCGCACGTGTTATATGCCGAAGGAGTATGCTGAAATAGGATATCGCAAGGCTTGTAGTGTGACTACTGCAACCATCTGTAAAAAAAAAAAAAAAAGAGAGAGAGACATAGGGAGAGAGAGAGAGAGAGAGAGAGGGGGGGGGGAGAGGGAAGGATAAAAAGAAAGAAGGGGAGAGGATGGGGAGGAAAAGATGGAGAAAGAAATAGAAAGAGAGGGAGGGAGAGAGAGAGAGAGAGAGCGAGAGAGAGAGATTAGTATGCTCCTTTGGTAGCATATAATTCTTTTTTCGCTGCCTTGTAAATCATGCTATTTATATGTTCTGCTTATCATTTCGTCTATATTTATCGTTCCACCCCACTTTTGAATTAAAATCTCTATCCATCTCCAACACCCCCCACCCCCTGCCCTTACCACTAACATACCATTACTACCGAAATAGTAGTCTAGTTCTGGACCCTACATTAATTTTTGTTATTCGCCGACTATAAGCGTTAGGCCGAGTGATGGCGCGATCCTTAGTGATAGCGAGACCCCCACTAACTTCTAGCGCGGTTGGGACCAGTTGGCATGCTGACAATCATGACCAAACTGTTAAAATCATTTTGTAAAGCTTTTAGAGCAACATAATTTATTATTACATTTATTAGTTTACCTTTAAAAGTTAATTCATGGCGTTTTTCACGGTGGTGAAGAGTTGACGCGCCAGGTTCTGTTGATAAAAAAAATGAAATAGGAAATACAATATATAACGTATGATATATATATTTATCAATATGTTGTTATTTTACTTCACTCACCCAAACTTGAGTACTTGCAATAACATTTGATTTCGAGATGAAATAGTTAAATATCTGGTGGTGGTGATTATGACAGTAATGGTGGTGGTGTTGGTGGTGATGGTTAAGGTGGTGGTGACGGTAGGGGTACGCGTAGTAAACTAATAGTATTCGTCGTCATCGTACGGTCAGTGTTGTCGTCTAAGTAGTAGTAGACGTATCAGAAGTACATGTAGTAGTAGTAGCAGTAGCACCTACAGTATATAGTAATATTAGTAGTAGTAGGAGTAGCAGTAGTGGTGGGGGTGGTGGTGGTAGTAGTAGTAGTAGTAGTAGTAGTAGTAGTAGTAGTAGTAGTAGTGGTAGTAGTAGTAGTATAAGTAGTAGTAGAAGTAGTAGAAGAAGTGTAGTAGTAGTAGTAGTAGTAGTAGTAGTAATAATAGTAGTAGTAGTAGTAGTAGTAGTAGTAGTAGTAGTAGTAGTAGTAGTAGTAGTAGTAGTAGTAATAGTAGTAGTAGTAGTAGTAGTAGTAGTAGTAGTAGTAGTAGTATAAGTAGTAGAAGAAGTGTAGTAGTAGTAGTAGTAGTAGTAGTTGTAGTAGTAGTAGTTGTAGTAGTAGTAGTAGTAGTAGTAGTAGTAGTAGTAGTAGTAGTAGTAGTAGTTGTAGGAAAAGTGTCTAAATAAGAGAAAAACAGGTAAGGTAGAAAAGAAGAAGAAGACAAGAACAAGAGAAAAAGAGCCGAAAAACAGAAATAAGAAGAGAAGAGGAAGAAGAACAAGAGGAAAAAGTGAAAATAGGAGAAGATAACTAACAAGGAGACACTGGTATAGAAGAAAGATAGAAACAGAGAGATTTCGGACATCTAGAAGATACAACAACAAAATTTATGCTAAGTTTTGTCCGGAGATTGGCATTTCCCATATTTAAATAATGTCTGAAATTTCTACACACCTGCTTTTTGATCGCGATGAGTATCGATCCTATAGTAGCAACCGTCTGCTTGTTGCCAGCTCAGTATCCTTTCTGCCCAATCTAGTCGAAAGAAATCAACATAATTGAAAAGACCGCAGATCACCGCTGAAAAATAAGAAACCAGGTAAGAATTTAAAAAAAATCAGATTAAAAACCAATTACTACGAATCATGTCTTTGTTAGCGTGTAATTATATTAATTATGTCCTCTGTATCGCACTCAATTCGTCCAACATGAGTGAGAGCGTTACAATACAGAAAAAATGAACTTATTTTATTGCTTTGTGATGTATTTTATTGTAATAATTTAAAGGCCCACTGCACTACTTGTAGCTACTTGCGCCCTCTATATAACAAACAATGTCTAATCGGTGACCATTGGTCCCCCATGATCCTCCTTTTCTTATGTTAATTGAGAGCTGAGTTGATGAGATAACCACCTGTCCAGTGACCTTGCTGGGCGCTCTAATCCCTCCTGTAAACTATGGCAGATAAGCTTTAATACGCATCAGGAGTAAAGGTGATCTAACATATACTGCACTCAGCTGGTATTTGTATTCCGATAAAGATGTGGGGTTATGGTTATGGTATGATTTTAATGTTAAGGATATTCAACGGTATGTTTATTTAGGGTTAGATGTAGTCTTGTGTCCAGGGTTAAAGTCTGTTCGGAATAAGAACAGCACAGCAAACTTGACAGCGGGGTCTCTTTTTGTCTCAGCATGTGTCGTACAATCGCGCGTAAACAAAACAAACTACATGCATTAAAATGAATTTCCACTTTGATGCACATACAAACGTCATTACCTTAATTTTCATTTTTTGCTATATTTCATGTATTAAAGTAAAAGTAGAATAACGCCAAAATTCAGAAAGAAGTTTATATGGGCCTCTTATTATGGGGGGGGGTGTCTACTAGACTCCTCTATACAGTGGATACGCCACTAGACACAGTGAATTTTTTCACATACCTTGTTCTATAAATTGATCTCGTTTATCATGGGGAAAACCAGCCTTGCTGATATTCAATGATTCTCGGTAAATCTCCATGCAGTATCCTTCGATAATGGAATCTATCGTTAGTTGCTGTTGCACAGCTGAGGGCGCCATTTGTAGTAACTTGGCTCTCAGTTGTTGAGAGCATTCACTCTGAGTGGGAGGATAAAAAAAGATTTCATAAAAAAAACATGACCACAACACCAACAACACCAACAACAATAAAAACTACAATTTTTTTGAAAAAATTGATAAATTTGAATAATTGGGTGATTAGGTGTAAGTATGAAATTGAGTGGTGGGGAGGGGGTAGGAGAAAGATACGAGAAAGAATCTGTGTGTGCGTTGTATGTGTGTGTGTGTGTGTTGATAGAACGATATATATATATATATATATATATATATATATAACGAAGGATAACGAGGATACTAAGAGAAGATGAAAAAGAAATTAAGCTAAGAGTGATATTGAAAGGAGTGAGAGCTAAAGGGCAGAAGAAAAAGATAAATGCAATGAGGAGAGGAGAAGGAAGAAGAAGAAAATGAAGAAGATAGAGGAGATGATAGAGATAGAAAGACACAGTGAGTTAGGGAGGTAGCAAGAGCAAGGGACAGAATAAGACCTGACATAATAATCTATTAATCAAGAATGGCAAAAATGGCATGCCAAAGTTTTGCATAGACACTATACAATGATGCCTACTCCCCTAAGGATTTATAATCCGATCGCTCTAGTTAATCTCATACTTCTTCGCGACATCTCCGTCATACACAAAACGGATGATAAAATCGGACAGCAATAATTACCATGGCACCCAACCAACCTCCAACAATATCATTATGACGACTTCGATTCTCCAGGGTGAAGATGAGCTTATTTTCATCCTCCAAAGAAATAAATATTGGTGAAGTCAACAGGAAGGGGGACTCAATGGGGGAAGACATGTCGCTCGATACATTAACCATCTTTACTCTGACCCCGATAAGATCACACGTGTCTATCAACTTCGAAGTGCAAATTGGCAATTCAGAATGCTAAGGGAAAAAAATGAAGTAAAAAAAAAAAAAAAAAACACTATTTCTGTTAGCTGTCGCTGTACCTTGATGTGTTGATGGTAGAAGCGGTTTATTCGATTAAACTGAAATGAATGGCTAGAAATATTGTAACCCAACATGCATATTCCTACAAAGAGATTGTGGTGCAGGGAAGGTGCAGTAATATGAGAGAGGGAGAGAGAGGGAGAGAGAGGGAGAAGAGATAAAGAGAGAGAGAGAGAGAGAGAGAGAGAGAGAGAGAGAAAGAGAGAGAGATAGAAGAAGAGGAAAGGGAGAGCGCGAGAAAAGAGAGAAGAAAGAAGAAAAAAAAGTAAAGAGAGAGAAGAGAGAAGAGAGAAGGTAAAATAAAGGTAGACGTGGACATAGTTAAAGACACGATTTATTGTTCATTGTCTTAATTTCAACATGAATCGAAGTTATAGAGCGAGTCATGTAAAAACGGTGGCGTGGTTTAATACGGGCCCGGGTGACTGGGGCACATTCATTCCTTCCGAGAAAGAAAAAAAAAACAGTGAAGAAATGAAAAGAAAAATGAGAGAAAGATGTGCAAAAGGTAGTGGGCCGACGCTATTGATAAATCTTCTCCCATGTCCTGCTCGATTGCCTAGCTCTCTCCCTCACACTGCATCTATGATGCAATGTGCGCCTATGACTAAGAGCCCCACTCTAACGGCTGGACCTAGCCATGCCACATGAAAAGGAAATGAAGCATGAAACGCTTGTCGTGTTACTATGGTGGCTCACTTTAGAATTTATTCAAGATTTAAAATTTAAATGTTATAATTGGAATTTAAATGTAAACAAAATTATTCACTCACAATTTGTCCTTCAAAAATAGGTCACTACATATAATTCACCGGCCGTGGTGTAATGCGTTTCCCACTTGTTGCCCAAACTGACTTTATAATTCTTCATTTACGTTTATTACAACGAATAATTCAATTAGCAACCGCTCTCCGTAAAAAAAAAAGAAGGAGAATAACAAAATATGGAAAATAAAAAATGGAAATGGATCAACAAAAGTAAAAGAAAAAGAACAAGCACGAGGAAGAAGAAGGCAAAAAAAGAGAAAATATGAAAACTTTCTAGTTGATAATGAGGATGATGGCGATGTGAAGGCAAAGGAGGACGATAAAGGATAAGTAGAGGATTGCGATGATGATGACGATAATGATGACGATGATGATGATGATGATGATGATGACGATGATGATGATGGAGATGATGATGATGATGATGATGATGACGATGATGATGATGACGATGATGATGATGATGACGATGATGATGACGAAGATGATGATGATGATGATGATGGTTATGATGATGAAGATGATGATGATGAAGATGATGATGATGACGATGATGATGACGATGATGATGATGATGATGATGACGATGATGATGATGGAGATGATGATGATGATGATGATGGTTATGATGATGGTGATGATATTGACGATGATTGTGATAATGATGATGATGATAGTTTTATGATGATGATAATGATGATGCTGAGGAGGGGGGTGATGATGATGACGATGACGATGACGATGATGATGATTATGATAATGATGATGATGATAGTTATGATGCTGATTGTGATGACGATAATGATGATGCTGAGGTGGAGGATGATTATGATGATGATGGTGATTATGATGATGGAGATGATGATGATGATGGTGATGATTATAACGAATGGAAAAATGAATTGATGTAGGAATGCAATAAACGGATATTTTAAGATGTTTCTTGGAGTGATCAAGTGAAGAAGAAGAAAAATAAAGAAGAAGAGAAACAGTGTAATCGAAGATAGCAAAGAACAGAAGAAAACGGGAAGCAAGAAAATGAAAACAAGACCGAAGTGATACTTCTCGTGAGAAGAAGATTTGCTGCATCGGAGGTATCTCGTTACGAAGCAGGTCCACAATCCAATCAATTATATGGTCACTCAATTACGTCATAGCGAATCTTCTCAGATTACGTTTTATTCGATGCAAATTGGAAAAGGCCCTTGAACCTGACAATTAATGTAGTAGCAGTTTTTTTTTGAGGAGCGAGAGGAAACCATCTCATGGCCTTTTCTCCCGGATTTTTTTAAAACCCCATGTGGCATATTTGAAATATACACACACAAACAAACAATGCCCCTTAACATTGCGATCCTAAATTACCTGAGAGTTATGTCAACATGTTGTACTTACTCTCCTTCTAAATTATGCTTGTGTGTTGCCCATTCATATCATCATTCATCGCACGAGTTCGTTGTTGTTGTTGTTTTTGTTATACTCTGATTCATCAAAGTTTCTTTCTCATCGTCTATTATGATTCAGTTTTTGTCATGTTACTTGACTCCATTACCATACCATGCTTATAATGTAGTGTCAGTATATTCATCATTAATTAAGTGTTGTTATTTTGTTTAATATCATATTCAGTTAATGAATTCCCATGTTTTAGTTTAACTTATTTTTATAGTTGATTTTTATCATTTTCTAAAACCATGCATAAATTGTTTTAAATGTTATAATTTAATATTGTAAAGTTCTAATTGTAATTTATGTATTTTGTCATGTGCAGTTTTTATAATCAGGGCTCTGTGGAAGACCAGGTTTTTATTTTTGTATACTGAACAGACTACCCTGAACAAAGAAGAGAAATCAATAAATAAATAAATTCCCTGAAAGGGGCATCGGAGGAGAGGAGGGGATGACCCCGACATAGTTTTGATTGGTGACTTCGGATATTTCGGTGCTTGTTAGAAAATGGAACAAGTTGAGAACCTTATGCATAATTTTGCTTGTTATGAATTGCCATTCAAACATACAGTTGACTAAACTTGAACAAGCCCCGTCCCAACCCCAACCCCTTATGCGAAATGGGCTAGCGGCGCCCATATACAAATATTTATTTTCTTTCTTCACTTGGGTAACTATTCTGTCTTACCTTAATACCTATCATGAGATAGAGGGCTTGATGAGTGGCTGTGTATCCATTACAAGACAGAAAAACTCTTTCAATGCATCCATCGTCCAATTCGCACCGTGTAGGGGTATCATAAGATAACCTGGGGCGAGAAGGAAATGCGTTATTTGGGTTTCTAAGGAAAACATGGGAAACATGATGGAACAATAGTCGACACCCCATACGTCATATATGATGAATGGGTGATGAAGCGGCAAAAAGTTGTGATGGATGACGGAGAAAGGGAGAGAAGAGAGCGAAAACTAGAAGACGTTGAAGTCGAAAGGAAGAAGCTGAAAAGGAGAAAAGAGACGAAAGTGAAAGAGAAAGAGCAGAAGAAGAAGGAGAAGGAGAATAAGAATAAGAAGAAGAAGAAAAAGAAGAAACGAAATGGGCAGTGGAGAAACAGTGGAGAGAGGAAGATAAAGAAGTGGAAAAGAAACAGAATCCTGCGATTCATGCTATATACGACGACATGATTTTAAAAATGAAAAAGAAAGCAACAAAATCAAATTACCAACACAATAAAAAGTACCAAATTCCCTACCCGACTTAATATCTCTCAACATACTATTGATCTTTCCGGTACAAACAGTTTTATTATGAGAAAAAAAGTAATATAACTGTTACCCATTTTGAAGGGAGGGTTGAACTTATTTTACTTTTATAAAAATGCCCTTTATGGTTAACAGTGAATGGAGACAAAAAGAACAACAATGATAGGTTGCCAGTGTGATCAAAAGGCATATTTCTAAAATAGAAAGAGATCGAATATTCTCAAACTAAAACTCGCTTTCATCAACCATCTCGCTATAGGTCATGAACAATAAGGTCTACGCTCACTAACTGTGACCGGAAATTTTTGAGCCCAAGTATATTATTGCCGTCCACAATTCCGTCATTTTGCAGGAAATATGTCTATTGTGAGGTCGAATTCCCTTTACAATTATTCGTTAATGTTAATTAAAGCATTATTTATGAAATTTGATATGATTATTTCACAGAGAATAATAATCTAAATATATCATTTTGCCGTCGGGTCGCAACGACATATAATTGCGAAGAATATATTATTGCCTCGAAACAATCAAAAATGTAAATTAAAAAATTACATCGTAACTCTTTATCTAACCTCTCTCTCTCTCTCTCTCTCTCTCTCTCTCTCTCTCTCTTTTTTTCTCTTACTCTCTCCCCCCCCCCCCCCTCTCTCTCTCTCTCTCTTAATCATCTTCTTGTTCTGTTTTCCCCCTTTCTCTCCGTCTCCCTCCTCTATTTCCCGGACTCCCCCTCTTTCTCTCTGCCCGGTTTTCAGTCTGTCATTCACATTCACTTGCGTACACACGCTCTCTCTATCTCTCTCTCTCTCTCTCTCTCTCTCTCTCTCTCTCAACCCGTCAATGACAATCGTATGATGAGGCGATTGGTATCACATGTTTTCATACCCGCTCATCGTCATAGATAGATGGTATCTTTCTAATTACTCCCCACCGGAATGAAAAAGTCTACTTATTATGACATAACGTAGAGACTCCATATATTTTTTTAATGAAGTTGGTCTTCTACTTTTTACCATTGTCAGTATTACAGATGGAAAAAGGCTTAACCTGGGCAATAAGGGGTAGTATAACGTATTTCCCTATTAAAAACAAAACTACATATCTGATTAAATCAAAGGTCTTTAAATGTTTGGTTGGCCGGGTAGATATGAATTTATACAAAATAGAGTAAATCTTTTTTAAAGCATATACTCTTTATAATGTTCAAGTTGAAGTGAATATATAACATATAAAACATAACTGAATACTGACAAGCTGAATTATTTCAACCAGAATGATTATCGCTTAGAGAGTAAGAGAAACATATTGTCTTTGTATTTCATGAATTCATGAGGCTGCCATTACGTTCAGCCTTTGTCTTAAAATGGCGGTCTCCTGCATTTTCTCATTTTGAAATGATTTGTCAATAATGGTATTTTTAAGGTATAAGAATAAAATTGATATATATCACGACATGAACATTATATTTTGTTAGTTATTACTTTGTATTATGTTAAAACATGTAACATGGAATCAAACAAACAAACAAATATCACAGCATTTTAGCGCGAATAAAAAAATTCTCGCGATATTCACATACTCTTAGGCAAATTCTCATTCTTAGATACAAGAGGGGGCAAGTACCCCCCCCCCCCCCCCCCCCCCCATTTGAATGTACCACACTTAGAAGCATACCTTTCGTCGGGTAGAAGCTGAGATATACAATGATCGGAGAGAATCTCGTTGAAAGGTGACTGACACTCTGCATCAAGCTCGTCATGCTCATCCAAACTATGTAGAGAGACTGACTTCGAAAAGGACTTCGGTGCTCTTCGCCAGTCCATGTTCAGGTTTAGAACACTGCCAACCACTGTGGTCATATGAAAATAATAATTTGTTGTTTCTTTTCTTCGTTTTATTATGCTTTTTGACGATGTCCTTGAATTTTCAAAGCGTTCATTCAAATGTATTAATATTTATTACTACTACGGAATACTATTAAACGGATTAATGTTTTAAGGAAAATGATTATCATTTAGTGAGTATTAAAGAGATGTAAAGACTTTTTTCCCCTTGTATTTTACCATTAAACAGTTAAAAGCGTGATATTCAACGCTCAAACATGAAATTGCTGGGATAATGCTTATTCCATCTCATTGGCAACGTAGTTCGGTTTAGTGTTTGTTGTGATTATTGTCTTACCATTTTGTTAAACTTTCCTCTTTTTAAAATTTATATTTGAATTTATCTATTCATTAATTCTTTGTTTTGTTTACTTAATAACTTCATTTATTTAAGGGGCACTTTTTAAAACATTATTTATACAGGTTTTCTAAAGAATTTATCATTTGTTTGCACCTTTTGAAAGATTGGTACAGCACACGACTACTATGACTACACGACCGTAATAAAATATGTATTCTAAGGAAAAAGCTTTCTAGTGTTGTATGTTTTTTTACCTTCAAAATCTTTGAATTTATCACGTGTTTTCGGTAGTGCGATTTCCATAATTTCCACTCCATTGGTGATTAGTTTGCGGATGATTGATGCCATCTCGGAGTCCCTTTCTGCAATCCGGTCAAGAGTTGCATTCAGTTGATCTATAGCGAAAATACATGTGAATTTCAAATATGATTTAAACATATTGTGAACATTGTAATGATTTTATTCAGATCATAATTATACAATTTCTTCCATATGAAAGGGTGGCAGAATTCTTTTGCCGGTATGGGTGCAGAAAGTTACTACCATTACTATAACTACTAGGCCTACTTCTACTACTACTACTACTACTACTACTACTACTACTACTACTACTACTACTACTACTGCTGCTACTACTGTGACTTCTACTACCATGACTGCTACCACATGACAACTACTACTACAGCTACTACTAATGCTGCTATACTAATATCACAACTACTGCCATGACTACTACTACAACAACAACAACAACAACTACTACTACTACTACTACTACTACTACTACTACTACTACTACTACTACTACTACTACTACTACTACTGCTACTACTACTAGTACTACTTAATATCTTCATTATCACCTAAATTCAGGGGTGCATCGAGAATGTTCAGGGGAGGGGGGGGGGGAGAGCCGTGTCAATCAATATGAGAAGGAAGGGAGTTAGAATATCGAAAAATAGAACGGATGGAAGATGCTGAGGGTTACCATGGAGACAAGACAGCACCAGCAATATTCAGGAAGGAAATAATAAGAAGATGAAGAATGACAAGTTAACTGGGAGTATGGAAAGAAGAATCCGAAGGAAACTGTGACCACGAGGGAATTCGTGATGTCATTTACGATACAGTCGCATCTCGTAATTCACAGAACGCAAATGTTGACAAATGTGGCAATGCCGCCACGAACACCAAACATCATCGCTCTGAAAACTTAAGACGCTCTCCCTTAGGAACCCTATTATCTCTTGTCTCTACTACACGCAATGGTGTAATAACAACGAGGCTTTATCACGATGCCATAACCTGTTATTCTGTCCCCTCGAATCCGAGACTTTTCCCGAGGGAAGAGAGGCTTCTTAATTTGTTAAAAGCCTAGAAAGATAGCTGGGTCGGCATCGCATCCATTACACTAATTTTGGTTTTGTGTTGCCTGTGCGCTCGAATTCTTCGTGTATCTCGCGGCGGAGTCGAAAAGAGCGATAAGTTATGAGACGGCGTCCAAACATTACAAGCATTCCCATAAAATCTCTGTCATTTTTACTTACTTTTATTCTATATTTTGAAATAAAAGTTCTATCCAAGAATATGACTATGAATAAAGATGATGCATTCTGCTGACGTGCGAAACAGACTTCTGGACACGCCTGGATAAATTATAATGTTGGAAACTGAGTTTTTAAGGCACATCTGGAGGTGCTAACTTATGACAGCAGTTTTTCGTTTTCGTTGATGTTTATTTCTTTTCTTTACTTCAGACACAAGTTCAATTTTTTTTCCCTGTGGGATCCACATCAATTCGGTCTCCACGGGTTCGAAAAGGGGGAGGGCACTAAAACTGTTACCTCCCATCCCTCCCACACATCCTATGGGTTCAACTATCCGTAATAAGACAAGAAACATAAGGAAAACGACCATGGCCTGATTTTTTTTATTACACATTTCATTTCTATCGCAGTATGTATTACAAATTTACCCGTCTAATCAATGGTACGGTCCCAAGCAGAAAACGATCAATTTGGGGATGAGTTACTTCTCTCAAGATACGTTACACTCGCTATCACTCTCATGCATGTAAGCTAAATATAACGTTGCAAAGAAAACTGTGTCCTCTTTTCTGAATATTCGTTCTCATGTTTCAGTTTCCCTGACGGGAGATCGCCGACGGGGGTCTCGCCCAAATTTGACAAAATTGTGTCCATTTTTTATGGAATGTGATTCAACTTTTTTTTCTGAGAGCAAATAATTATGAAAGTTAGACATTTTTCAAAATATCCGACTACGGTTTAATACATGTAACTCAATGCTGAGAGCACACAGTACGACCTGGAACAAGCAATGCCAATGGTAGATGCATACTTAAAGCATGCTGATTGAATGGACGTAAAAAGAGAGAGGGGGTCAACCATTGTAATATATATATATATATATATATATATATATATATATATATATCTGTTTATATATTTACATAGAAATGTGTGCCAATGCCAATGCCTTGACCAACAGACCATGGGGACGGGCTAGTGGCTTCGGTGATACCAAATTGTGACCTAAAGGCTTACAATTTTCAAAATTCATTAACGAATTAATTAATTTCTTTGTCGGCTGGTGAGTTTTGATGTATATATTACCATCATCATCGTCACCCTTATAACCATCACCATCTTCATCACTATGATGATGATCATCATCGACAACATCTGCCCAGGCTTATGCGCACTTCTAAGCTACTTCCTTCATTTTTCTTCGTTTTCTTGTAGACATCGATATTCTACAACACGGGTCCGATAATTATAGATCCGGACTCCCCGCGCTAAGACATTCAATTCTCATTTTTTATGCAATTTATGCCATAAATTGGAAAACCGCAGTGCATTATCAAACATGATAATTCGTGTAATGACAAATTCGTATTCCCCCCGGTCTGGCGGGAGATAAGAATTGCATATTTTGTAGCCTTCATGTTTTGTCCATTAATAATTTGAGACTTTCATCTGATGGTAATATCGTACTTGATATTCCACATAGCAGCTTATAAGTGAAATCATCTCGCCAGAAAAGCCGAATCCGCTTTCATCCATCACGTTAATGGTGAGTGATGAATGATATAAAGTATCCGAAGAGAAAATGTTACTATTTATAATCACTTACCTTATCGTCCGGAATGTTCGTTTCAAGCACAAGAATGAACTGAAATGAGGGCTATTTACACTATGACAGCCAAAACATAACAATCCTATTATAACATCGCAATCAAAAATTAATATCCTGATTATTGTGCGGATACACATGCTTAACGGAGATTTGTGAATTGTTATACGATAACCTTGACAAAGGGCGATTTACCGGTGCTGTTTTCTTAGACTTGAGAAAGGCGTTTGATATCATCCCCCATGATCTTCTTATAAAAAAAATAGTTATTTCGGCATCAGTGGAACTGAATTATCATGGTTTGAGTCTTACCTAGTGGGAAGAAACCAATGTGTGTCATACAAGGGCATTAGAAGTGATTTCCTTCCAGTCCATTCTGGGGTACCGCAGGGTTCAATTTTGGGCCCGCTACTATTTTGTATGTACATTAATGACATATGTGATTTAGCCTTGCATTCAACTACTAATATTTCTTTGTACGCAGATGACACTGCCATTTTCTCATCTGGTTATGGAGTACAAGCTGTTCAAACCCAGTTACAAAATGACATACTAGTTTTATGTGAATGGATGAATGAAAATGGGCTAGTTGTTAACACAGACAAAACTAAAGTTATGTTATTTTCAAGTTGAAGGAAGAAGAATCCAGTCAAATTACAAATAAAAATGGATGGTAAACTTATAGAAAATGTAAAAAAATTTAAATATCTGGGTGTTATTGTAAATCAGAACTTAGATTGGTCTCCCCATGTCAATGATGTTGTCAAGAGGATTATGAACTCGCTTATATGTATGCGAAGGATTAAGCACTGTTTGGCAAAACGTTTATTTACTCATTTATACTATATTTTAATTCTTCCTCACATCGATTATTATTCAACTGTTTGGGGATCAATGAAAATGAAAGATTTAAAGCGACTACAGAAATGTCAAAACAAATATTGTCGTTTAGTATTAGATGCAGATTATTATACGCCTGTACAATTTATGTTAAATTCTTTAAGGTTGCAGGGCTCCCTTGTAAAGCAGGCCTTGCGGCTTGAATGGGACTACCCTGCTTTTTATAAAGAAAACATAAATAAATAAATAAATAAATAAATAAAAATACACTTAGTAATTGGAATCAAGCGGGTTGAACTGTCTGCGGTATGAGCAGATGGAAATTAATCCTGATCCGATTAAGAGCTCAGATGAAGATAGAATAAGTAGGTTTTTCCGATCCCTTGATTTCTATCTCAGCAGAGTTTTGGGCTTTTCTTCTTATTTCCCATTTTGTCTGTCTCACCGTCTCCAGGTCGCCCCCATTTTGTATTTCTTTGATCCCTTTTATAGCTCTAATCGCGCACACCATGCATGCAGCTAGCATCCCCTCTCTAGCTACGTATCAAATCCACCCCGCTCTCGTCTCCCCTCGCTATATACAATGCCGTACAATAATGGCTCTCTTTCTTTTCCACTTGCACTTTCTTCCACTAATCCAGTTTCGTTGAGATGAACGGACCTTATGGCAGCCTCGCATCATTATGTATATCCCTCATCCTTCTCTTCTTACCGCTCATTTCTCTCAGTTTCATCCCTTTCTCTCTTTCTCTATCTCTCTCTCTCTTTCTCTGTATACTCTTTCTCTTTATAATTCATGTTTTGGAGACTCTAATACATCACTTGCCATGACCCACACTTTGAATAATATTGCAGTCCGATATATTCAACAGGTTTTACGTCTATGATTTATTTTAAGAAGCATATAATCTTATTATTCAAAGAAGAAATAATATCTCAATCGAAAGCAAACAGCAAACAAATATTAGAACAGTAAACTATTTTTTTTTATCGGAAGTACTTTTTACATTTCCAAATTGAGTGAAACTTATTTGCATAAGGAGTTACTATGTCCCATTTGCAAACCAAAAAAATGAAAAGGTTAAATTCCAACGGCATTTGAAAGATAATACTAATTTAGATTTAGATTTAGATTTTCCTAAAAAAAAAAGGGGGGGGGGCTTGAAAATGTCTTCAAGTGGGAAAATAACGACTCTTAGTTGTCGAATCGACTTAAGAGCTATAGAGCCAGTAAGTAATAGTCTAAATTTTCAGACCATTGTACCGAATGGTCGTACGTTTTATGCTGCGCAAAGATTCAATCAGTTTAATTTTGGCCATTACAAGAAGTGGGTTATTGATGTTATGTAGAAAAATGCTCATGTACCCTTTACAGCTCATTAAATGTATGTTATTACCAAAG